TCTAGGTACTGACCAGACTTGACATTGCTTAACTTTGGTAATTATATGAGAACTGGTGTTTCAATGTGATATAGCTGTAAGTATCAATGCCAATCAAGTGGTGGTTCAAGATGATGAGCATTCAGGGTGATCAATCATCAGAACAATGCCAGAAAAGGTGAAAAAATGTGAATCTATTTATGAAGACCATCACAAAAAAATCCATCTCTTCTTACATATGAATGGAATCTCTCAGAAGATCTTAGTCCAAGAAATTTCTGATACCATATTATTTATATAATATCAGTTTTATATACTTCTTGCAGAATAAGAAGTTAACTACTAAACTCAAAATTATTTACCTTTTAACATAAATTATTGTGCTTTTAAAAATTTATCTTTTATTTTTAATTATTTATCTTGAGATAAATCATTGTTTTAATTTTAAGATATAAAGAATAATTCAAATAAAACTAAAAAACATTTAAAATAAAACACATACATGTCGTTTTACTTTTAAAACCTATTGTGGTATAAGAAAAACAAAGTAACAAGTCCAGAGAGAGCTAATTTCAACATGCAAATGGGACATAACATGGCCATTATATCAAAGAAAGGAAAAAGCTTAATGGCCTATTCTGACCAATTAAGATCCAGAATTAATGAAGACATTAACTTTGTGATAAAGATTTTACACCAGTCAGTCATTAAGGCTTTGCAATCTAGTTCACACCAGACTGTCAAAGGAAGCCAATTGACTTGAGATATCCTTAAGCAGGGGTGGAGATCTGCAATTCAACTGTTGACAGTGGTGAACACCCTGTGGGCCTGGCTGTGCCTGATATGCACATGCATGAGAAAACTATTGAAAAGAGTGATATATAAAAAAAAAAAAAAAAACAATCCAGAAAGGAGTTGGGCCTTTTCTGTGATGTGGGCAAGAATGTAAGGCCCACATATCAAATGAAAGGAGGGGGGGGGGTCATATCCCACACACTGACCAGGAGTAAATGACAGTTAGGAGCAGAATAAAATCTAATGTTAAGTAATGAAAGATTCAAGTCTTATGTTATAATTTGATTTGCACATATTTGGAGGGGGGGCACTCCACTTCATTAAATTATATTCCATTCTCAGTCTGGTTGATGTGGCTCATGATAATAAATTATATCAAGAAAACCTTCTGATGGATATGTATTTAAATGACTTTCAATAAGTTATTAACTGACAGAATTGTGAAATGTTTAATTTGCCTAAAAACAACTGTTTTAACAACATTTTAATTTTATTATTTTTTCGCATCACAGGAAAATAAATTATCATTCCTCGTCAGCATATGTTGCTTAGTTATTTGCAAATGATTATTCACATTTGTTGTCCACGACTTGTTTTAAAGTGAAAACAATTTTGGTAAAAAATTCTTTTTAAAAATTATTATAAAAATATTTTTACAACAATGTCTGAATGTTTGAATTTAGCCAAGAAATCTACCTAAAATATATAAAAAATACCTTTTTATTTTATTTTTTATATTTGCATGTATCAGTAAAGATTAAATTTTGTTACTAATGAAAATAATAAGAATGAAATAAATAAAAGAGAAATGTTTGTGAAATGAAAACAAAAAAAAAAAAAACTGGAGATCTATACACGATCTGACACCAGACTTAACCCAATTTTTATGGTCAAGATCCAAGCTGACGTTTTTCTGTTTTACAATGTGATGTGATCAGACTTGTTTTAGTAGCTTCAACTAATTCTTGAGAACTGCTTATGTTATTAACAAAATGTTCAATGTTTCATTATTTCATACTAAACAGAAATACTTTTTAATTTTGCTTCTGGAAAATGCTAATGTATATTCTCTCTCTCTCTCTCTATCTATATATATATATATATATATATATATATATATATAGATAGAGAGATATATAATATATAGATACATACTGGGGTGTAACAGCAAAATTGTCCATTCCACAAAATGTTTAATATCTAAAAAACCACTAAACTGAGTTTCTTTTTTCAAAGTTTACAGATAAGAGGTTTAGCCATCTTGATACAATTTATTGTAAGAATCAAAGAAAAAACCCTTTTGAGTTATTCAGCTCGAAAGAGAACAGTTTAAAATCATTTTGTGTCAGCCCCACTCTCTTCCCAACTGAGCAAGGTGAGAGGATAAAAATCATTCAGGCCTTCAATAAAAATATTAGTAAAATAAAATTAAATACAACTTTTGATGGAAATTAAATTGTAGGTTTTTTAATACAAACTTTTGTGCAAAAAATCGTTTTTTCAGGAAGCTTTAAATAAAAGTGTGTTTATTTTTTGTAAGTAAATAAAGATGAAAATCCATTTCAAAAGGTATAAAATTTTAATACATGAATTTCATAGAAACAAATTTAAGTTTCATAAAAAGAATGTTTACACTTTTAAATCTTGGTTATTGAAAAGATTTATTTTTATTTACATAGTATGCTACATAAACAAAAATAAATCTTTTCTATAACCAAGACTAAAAAATATTTATGGTAATATATATAAAATTAAATATATAATAATAATATAATATATATATATATATATATATATATATATATATATATATATATATATATATATATATATATATATATATATAAGAATGCTCTCAGTTTCTAATTCGTGAATTTCTCTCTTGAAAGAAATAATTTTATTCTGCAAATAATTTTTTTTTCAAAATATCACAGTGTATAACATTTAAAAATTGTCTATTGCCTAGATTGTCATGTGGGTGTGAGAAAAAAAAACACCTAAACAAAAAAAATTTACTTATTTTTAAAAGTTTATATTTCTTCAACAAATGAACCACATGAATTTCAGATTCAGACATAAAGTCCATGGCCCCTCACTACAGTCTATCATGAACTTTATTTTCCATGGCTTCCCCCCTGATCCTAAGTAAGATTGTTAATACAGACCAGCACCTGGATATATTCTATTTCCAGTTTTGTTGCCACTTCATCTCCAAAAATCCACTCCATTTTTTTTCCATTTCACTTCAGTTAAAGTGGATGCCACTTAGAGGACTGAACTTCAAAAAGAACCATATGCTGGTCTATCAAACAAAAACACTTGAGATCAAGATAAAAACTACCTTTTCCTTTTCTATGTTTGTGTCCATAGAATCACACAAACTTTCTTCACATTTGGCATGGTCAGTGAGCCTAAGGGTCACTTGTAATACCAATTCTTGGCTGAAATCAGCAGAAACAATGAAAGGAGGCAATTTTCCCTCTCTGTCCACAGTCTTTACTCTTTCTTCTTTCATTGAATGTAGTTCTTTCTCTGCATTTATGTCATCTTGGACAGTGTTTCTCCTACAATTGTAATCCCTAGACTGTGCTTCCAAATAAAACATTGCAGTACAATTATTAAAGTTTTTATTTATCTTATTAATTTTTTTTTTTTTTTTTTTGTAATAAAAATGTGTTTTTTATACTTGTTACCCAAATTGAATCCAAGTTTCAAATGAATTTGATCTCATATTGACAATAATCCTCCATTATTGTTAATATAAGATCAAAATCATTTGAAACTTTGATTCAAATTGTGTGACACCTCTCTCCACATTTAACTGTTCAACAATACATCTTAGCGATGACTTACATTTTATACCTTTAAGGCTTTCTTTGGGACATTGTAACCTGTGATATATTATCACTGGCTGTTGATTTAATATTGTAAAGATAAGAATTTATGCAGCAACACAAACTAAGGTGAATATGGGAGTGGGGAGGGGGTCATTCACTACTTTCATCTGGTCCATCCCCAACCCTTTCACCATATATCCTTTCAGCAAAAGAAGACCATCATCAAGTTCAGACTTGTTTTAACCACCTTACTGTTTTTTCTCTATGGAAACCGTCTCAAGAATGTTTGCAATTCATGTCACTTGTTTGCCGATATATTGAATATCAAGGCAGAAAGAAAAATTTCACTTGATGAAAATAACTGATTCAATAAAAACTTAGTTAAAAAGTAAAATGAAGATGTATGTAGCATAGCGGTTATCAGTGTGGAAAGGAGAATCAGCATGCTGAGTTCAAATTCTGGACTAGTTTGTTGTGTTCACTTTCATGCAAATATCCTTGGAAAAATATAAACCCAGCTCTTCTCCCCACAGCTATGGGTTAAATAGTAGAGCAGACTGTTCTCTTTAACCTTAGGTGGAGAAGGATAACTCTGAATTCAAAACTTGGGTTTGAGATAAAAATGCATGTGTAATGTATCATGTGTAGATAAAAGATCTATAAAAACCACAGTAGTGTGGTGAGGCTATGCCTCTATTTTCTACAGGGCAAGTAATGGCACTAAGAAGGAAGTGGGATACAAAACAAAATTGGGAGTTTTTATTGAAAACTGCCTTTTTGAAGATATCTAAACACCATTTAAAATTCCTGTTGGAAAGAAATGAGGTTTGAAATTTGGAAATTGATTTGAAAATAGAAGCTGAATCATGAATTTAAAAAATCAAATAGCTGTATTAGAAGCAAAGCAAAATAAATAACCAACCTTTTTTTTATCTGTATATAAATGTGTTTCTGTTTATTCTCTCTCAAATTTCCAAAACTTTTAAGTTATATCCTCTGTTAATTTTGTAATGTAATCATTAAATCAACCCTTTCACAGTCAGTATTGAATTAAAGTTGAATGAGATATATAATATAATATATATATATATATATATATATATATATATATTTTTTAATGAGCTGTTAGGAGCCATGAATGATAACAGTTTAGTTGCTTGTGACACATTGGTGTTTAATTCCTTTTCAGATGGTTTTCCATTTTTTTTTAGTAGTTAAATTTGAAATTGTCACAAGACAATTTGCCATGAAAATGGGTTACTTAGAAAACCCAATCCACAATTTTGGTTTTGAAAGAGTTAACCTCCCCCCATTTCTGTTTATGGTTAGACTTTGTGTCGTAGGAGCCACAAAAGTCATCAGTGTGTGTTCCTACTTCACAGATCAACAATGACTGTCAAAAAGGGGTTGCGTCCGGTGTCTCCTGTCCATGTCCATGTTGAAAGTGATCTTCCCATTTCTCTTGCTCAAGGAAAGGTTAAAAAGGTTTGTTGTTCTTCCTTTTGGTCTCCCTTCCCTTTTTTTTTTTTTTTTTTTTTTTTAGAAAAAGCATTTTACTCCTATGCACTGTTTGCTTCAATCAAATACAATCTTTCTTTTTTTTTTTTTCTGGGAACCAAACATGTATGTGTGTGTGTGTGTGTAGGGTGCAATGGTTAAATTATCACCATTTTATATTTATTATTTTGTACATGTACATTGTTGGTTTTTGATTTTGTTGACTGCACAGTATAGTAGGGTCAGTTGGGCACTGTCTGTGAGAAAAAGAGTACCATGATGCAATTCACTCTGCCAGAAATTTGGAAACAGCATGCTATACTGCTTGATATTTGCGCTGGAAGCTCCAATCCAAACTTTTCAGTGTATTTTGGTGTCAATCTAAGTCCAATGGTAATTACGAAGGTATGGCAAATTGGAAAACTCACTCTGATTGTTCTGATAAGAAAGAACTCCCAAATTTGTTGGTGAGGGCCTCAAACTCAACAAAGTGGCCTACATCTAGTGTTTTGGGTTGTTCAATTTGGCTCTTGACAATTTTCTTGAAAGATACATAATACGATGACCATCTTGAGCTAATATTTCCCAAATTGAGCATTCACTTGCATCAGTTGTTACTATTATTTCCTTTTTAGGGTCAAATATTTTTGCTACTGGATTTTTTGCCAGAACAGCTTGTAAATTTTCAAATGCCACTTGTTCTTTTGTCCAAATTAATTCCACATTCTTTCTTCTTAAGGCAGCAAACATTTTTGTCAATTCAGTGTATCGCTCTACATATCATCTGTAGAAATCAAGTCTTAAGAAAGATTCCAATTCGTTTTTGTTCTTAGTTACTTCAACTTTTAATATTTTGTCAATTAATAATTGGTCTGGTGATATGCCTTCATTAGATATGGAATAACCTAAAAATGTTATTTTTTATTTTTTTTTTTTTAGTGCTGTACTCACATTTTTTTTCGTTAATTGTTAATCCAGCAATTTTTAACTTATTCAAAACTACTGTTTTTCCATTTTTATTCTTTATTGTTAATAGCACCAACACAAATGTCATCCTGGTAGCATGTTATATATTTTATATCACTAACAATAGCCCTTTGAAATATTGCATTTGCAGTTATAATTCCATATGACATTCTTTTCCATCTTAATAAGCCTTATGTTTATTGTTGTGACTTCTTTAAAGTCTTCATCAATAGGTATTTGATGATATGCCAATTTTAGGTCAATTTTAGAGAATGTTTTCATACTCACAAGGGAGTTCAAAGCCCATTCTACATTGCGGAAAGAATATGATCCTTGTTCAAATAAATCTTGTTCCAGTAATTATTTTACTTTTTTCACAGCTATTAATAGTAGATGGACTAGCAATTTTCATGCTTCAAAATATGAGGGAGGATACATTTTCCTTTAGTCTTAAATTTACTTCATAGTTTTTTAACATTCCTGTTTCTTCTGCCTTGACTTTGTTAACTAATTTTGTCGAATTTATGTTCAATACATCATTTTCTATTAGATAATGATTCTTTTCACAGTTTACCACAATAATTGGTAATACGCCAAACCTATTTCTTAGTTTCATGAAGGCTTCAAAATAGCCTAACATTTTTATCTTGGATCCATCAAACTGATTTAATTTGACATGGCTTTTCTTTAATCTTGGTTTTCTTAATTTCTTCCAGATATTTCTGGGCATGAACATCACATCACTTCTTGTATTTGTCATTTTGAAACACTTTTCACGTCTTTTTTTTATATGCCAGACATTTTTGTTTTTCTCTTTGATATTGGTATCCACAAAAAGTACTCATTATTTTATCTTTTTTCTTTATCAGTCTCTAATTCAGGTGAGAATAACTTTTCAGACATTTGTTTTAACATAGTTTTAACATAGTTGGGGAAAGAAAATCCCAGCATTAAAGGACTTTTATCATTCAATTATTTATTATCTTGCAAGAGGTCTTTTAATTTGGAATAGAATGGTTCTTTTACAATTATTCACCATTGCTATTCATATATTCTTGTCTTAGTCAGTCAGTTATGTGCTATGTGTGATACACACTTTAGGCAATCATGTATCTTTTGATACATGACTGACAAGGCAGGTTTTTTCTTACAGTAGGTTGCCATTTCTTTCTGCGGTAGATCAGTTACCATCCAAAGCTATAGAACCCAGTCTGTCCTGCTATTTACCCATAGCTGGTGGGAGAAGAAGATTCATACCTTTCTCAAGGGTATTAGCACGTAAGTGAATGTAATGGATTTGATTGGAATTCGAACTCGGCTCTCCAACCAAATCCAAATAACGGTATCATTAAATTATTTCCTTCAATCTTCTCCCTGCAGTGGTTTTTATTTGGTACGGCAATTTTTTTTAAATAATTTTCTCTGCAACAAAGTTTTGTTCCATGTTTATTAAACTTATATGTAAAAATTCCCAGCAGAAAATTTGTTTGAACCAGTATACTTATTTTAGAAGTTAACCCTCCACACCAACAACCTACCCCTCCCCAGGACACACAATGCCATGCAGTGACGTACAGAGATTTAGTGATGTTTGGTGATACCCTGGACCAACTCTTTGCTTGTATACTCTTAAGACCCAAGTTTGGGATGTGTGCTATAGTGCCTAGTAATGAGAAATGTGAGTAAAGGGAGGCGTTTTAAATATGTAAAAACAGATGAAACTTGAAATAAACTTTATTCAAATTAAATAGAAACTAAATTTTTATTTCACTCTTTGATTGGATGCCATCTCAATATGGATGCCTGGAGCTATCACACCATTTGTGCCCCCCCTTTCTGCACACTACTGCTGGCATGCCTCTTCTAAATAGCACTTGTATTTGGCACAATTCCAATTAACAAATATTCACTAATTTTGCTTCTACTTATCCAGAAAAGTTTTTTTGTTTTAATGTCTTTGTGCTGATCTCTCTTCCATTTTCTAATTTATTTTGCTTTGTACTTCCAAAATCTTAACAATTTTCCTTTGCTTTTTTTTTTTTAAATGTGTTTTTATCAACTGCAATGAGTCAGTATCATTCATGGCTACTTATATTAAAAAAAAAGTCATAATATTCTCATCCTGTTCCTTCTGCTTGTCATTTTGATCAAGACAGTGCCATTTGTCTTCCATGATGTAAAAAAAGGGGGTGAGAGTGCTGCTATACAACTCACTATGGCTATAATCCAATGTATAGACAAACCTTAGATTAAAAGCATTTCAGAAGGAACTGCTTGAGTTAATTTAATAATGATAAATTTAAAATTGTTTTTCTGTCTTTATAATTTTTAAAACCTCTTGAAAAAAAAAAAAATAAAATCACTATTTTTTTTTTTTTTTAAATAATAAAAATAACAAAAGCTGTAAGTTGAAAATGAACTGTTGTCATCTTCAGCTTACAATTTAAAGCACACACCTAATTTTACTTTCCAAATAATTAAATTTAATGTTTTGTCATTCATTTTTAGCCGTGAATAATTGGCTGTGGTTAAATCTAATTGACAGAAATGCCCAACAGAAAAAGTTTGCAAGAAACAATAAGAAAAGAAAGAAAAGAGCAGGGCAAAAATAATACTAAGCAAACAATATATGCAAGACAAATGTAAGCAAAGCAACAGTAATAAGGTAAAAGTTCACAAACTAAGAATAAAAGTTAACCATAGGGATACAGGCAAATGATTGCAGCATTCTGACTTCAAGATAGGAAAGAAGAAACATGATGGATGAGACTGAGAAGTAGCCTATTTTATTGGCTAGGAAGAAATCCCAGCATGCATCTATACAATTTCTCTATAAATTTGCGGAGGGGAAAGATTTGAAATAACAGTTTTTTTTTTATTGATGGATTGTCTCATTCTCCATAGAATTTTATTCCATTTTGTTATTTTCATGATGACTATTTAGTTAATTTCCTGAAAATGAAATCTGAAAAATGCAAAATCTTGTTTTTGAAGTTTATATTTTGGCAATATGATATTTTATTTTCACATTTCCATGTTTCTTTAACAAAATTTGCTCATTACTCTTCATTCAGGACAACTGTGGTGTACACTATGGGGAAGAGAATCTCCGGAGCAAACATTTTAGATCCAGGAGCTTATCCCAAACACGAACGAGAAGTAAAAGTCCAATTCTGCAAGGTCCATGGATTCCACCACCTGCTAGGACTTCAAAAGGAACAAAGGCATATCAGGTAAGACATTCACATTTACACAATAGGTATTCATTTTTAAACCTGATTGACACAATGGTTGATCAGCTTCCCCCTACACCCAATATTCTTTCCACTTTGAAGTTACCTCCCTTAAATTTAGGTGTTTCTGCCTTTGAAAGGAAGAAAAAATTTATATTTTTTTGAAAAGTCATTATACTCACCACTCTCTTTTATAGCACTGACTTCTATGTCATTTACCAGTGCTATTTATTTATCACAAACACATCACTATTACTGATTTTAAGTTGCTGCTAATGATCTAACCCTTGTATCCAACATTCTTGAACAAGCACAACTATTTCATCCCAGATTAGAATCTACTGCCACACTCATTGGACTCCATATAAATGACATTCAAACAGAATTCATGTCTTTTAATCAAATAGAAGCAAGAGGCAGTGAATACATTGAAATTTTGCAGATGATCTAGCCCTTGCATCCAACACTCTTGAACAAGTACAACTATTTCATCCCAGATTAGAATTTGCTGTAGCACAAGTTAAACACAAATGAAATAAGATTGAGTGAGAGAAAAGAAGAAAACAAGAAATGGTCGATACACTAAAATCACAATCACAGATTATCTAACTCCTGTATCCAACACTCTTGAACAAGCAACACAAGTTAGACTCCATATGAATGAAATTCAAACAATTTGTAGCTTTTCATCAAGCAGAAGGAGAACTTATTCAAAGATAGCAAATTAAATTGATGAGTTTTTTTTATATCTGGGAACATATGAAAAATATAGGTTATCTCCCAGTGGTAGATAAAATCTCTAATAGGGAGGATGAGTCCATTTGTGTGATAATAATGAGTAAACGCCAAATGGATTTGAGATACCAGAGAGGCCTGAAGACCACCAAGGTAAAAGGATGCATTTTAGCCTGCTCGAAAGAAAAGGCAATGCTGGCTACAAGCAAACCTGAATTGATGTGTTAATTAGATAAGCAGATATCAGATAAGTTTCTTAATTAATTTCAAACAGATTCATGTATTGGATTTTGTCCCTGTTATATTCCGTGCTAAAAGGAATATATGCTTGACAAACACAGTGGATAAATAAGTAAAGGTTTATTGTGAAAACCAGTACAATAAGAAATAAGGTAAAAGTTATGCACAAGGTAATCACAAGTCAATCCAGTAGTGAGTGTTACTATTGGAAGCTCAATAGTTCTCACGTAAGTCTGAGTTGTACTCAACAGATGCCAGTTAGACTCTGTAGTCCTCTGACATACAGATACTTATAGGCAGTTACTACCTATAGTGTAGTCATTCATGAGGGTGACAGGTTATTCCATTACATCAGTCCCCAATGCCATGACATAAACTACTAAGGGAATATCTTAGCAATTCTCTCTTTTCTGTCTTGTTGTATAATGTGTTACTTATATAAAAGTATGCTTTTTAAACTATTCATTTGTCTCATCCTTTGTTCCAACTTATATGGAGAGTTGCTAATTTTCCCATAAACATGATTAATCTCCTGGCAAAAAGACAGATGTTAGAATACAATATTATGGACAGTACAATCAAAAATGAAAAAAAAAATGTCTCAAAGTGCAACTCTTTGGGTCAAAAGTAGGAACCGTCTTCTTATATGCATTACCAAAAATCAAGGCAAACAAATGAGATGCTATGTACACATATGTATTGAGAGCTGCACTAAATGTCGGCTGAAAACAACCTATGCCCAGTAAAAAAAAACTATATGAGAACTAACCAAAGAAGTATATTGGGAACCTACCAAAGTTACAGTCTATGTAAAGTGATTACAGTTCAGTGAATTTTGCTAGAAGTAAAAAGAAAAATGTTTTGCATTAAGCTAATAAACACATTTTCTTTGCATTAATGTGCTTTTTTATGCTATGGGATCTCAAATTTTAGACTAGTAAGAACCTTCATCAATCAACCAACAGATAACACTAGGATCAAATCAGGAAGGAAGAATTGTGTAGAGTTATGGATGAGAGAAAATGGTTAGAAAGAAGTAACCAGAAGTGTTCATTTAAGAATGATAGATAAGATAAACACTTCTATCAACATTGTCACTGCATTATTTTCAAAGTGCTCTGAAGTGACTTCATTAGAAATATTGAAGTCCTTAAGATTGCCAGTGCCACAATCATTGAATATTATTCATTCTGAGATCTTAAAATGCCATGCACATTTATATGTCCAGCAACTGCAACCTATCCATAAAAGTTTGGCCTAAAAGCAAATGTTTTCCTCCATGACAACATGAGTCAGCCTACATCAAGAATAACACAGGAAAACATTTTGGAACTCTGCTGGCCTGTTCTACTCTATCCGCAATATTCACCTTTGATCTTGCACCACACAATTATCTTTTCTGAGTATTACAAGACACTTGGATGGCAAAAACTTTCTCTAATGAAAAACAGACTAAAGAGTTTGTCAAAAACTATTCGTATCAAAATTTTCAGAACTTACAAGGTTTCAAAGAGCTACTTGATAATTGGCAAAACATCATTGCAAATCAATGATGAATATATAAATTTTTTTTTTTTTTAAGAATAAAGTTGATGAGCAAAAACAGAAATTATTTATGACTCAACCTTATATATATATATATATATATATATATATATATATATACACACACATTCTATGATATAAAACATGTGTATCCACTAAAATAACATTTGGAATAATAAGAATTACTATAAGATTAAAAATTAATTCCATTAATTCCTTAGAAATTATTTATTGTATTTCAAATAAGTTTTATTTATATTTCCAATTTGTGTTTCTATCAGTTTGTGGTACTTGTAGATGTATAATAGGTGGGTCAGGTGTGTTATTATGACATCATCATAACCCTGACATTTAATAATTTGGTCAAACTACAAATTTAACAAGACCAAAAGACTAATTTGGACTTAATGCATGCAAATCATATGTTCAGATGAGAACCAAAAGTTGATAAACTGTAAAAATAAATCAATCAATCAAATGAGAACCAATACCTAAAATTGTGAATATGGCAATAAAGATCAGAATAACAGTCTGAACATTATAAATAATGTAAATCATTAAGAGCAGTACAATCAATATGTTTTGGTTGGACTTTACACACATTTTAGGTCCAGACAAGAATAGTACTATTCAAATTATTTGTTATGAACAATTGAGGGAGCTCCTTGCACTTCAAATATTCCTTATTGGAAGGGGGAGATCAGCCAAAACTATGATCAAACAAAGATGAGGATATTAGTCTCAATAAATCCTGGTTATATTTTAGGCTTGAGTAATCAACAAAATAAATCAGTCCAATTTTTTGTCGCTTGGTCACCAAAAAACTTTCATTCATTTTATTACTTCCCCATTCCCTTTCAGTGAAAGCGGAAGCTGTTGGGAAGACCAAACTTCATAAGGAACCACTTGCTGGCCATTAAACAGAAACACTTGAGATTTAGATAAAAATCACATCCTACTTTTCAAGGTGACTGTCCACAATATCACATTAATATTAATATTTATTGCATATAAAGTGTATAAACAGAAACACTTGAGATTTAGATAAAAAGCACATCCTACTTTTCAAGGTGACTGTCCATGGTATCACATATGTATTAATATTTATTGCATATAAAGTGAGTAATTTTTTTAAAGTTTAAAACAAATCTTTATCCAGATTAGTGATTCTACTTGAAGTGCTGGCAAAGTTAGTGAAAAAGAAAATATGAGATAAGGGAAATTGTGCTCAAGGATTAGTTGATGCAACATACACCTGGAAGCAGGGACATCAGCCAAAACTGTGATCAAACAACGATGTGGATATTAGTCTGAATAATTCCTGCTTATATTTTAGGCATGAATAATCAACAGTTTTTGTCTGCACCATTTATTACTGAGTCACATGTATGAAAGAATTTTACTTTTTAAATCCTTAAAAATAAACTTAAGATCTAACAAAAGAAATAAAAAAGCAATTTGTTCTCACTAAGAAGCAACATTTACTTACTACTTACTAATGAGATATTCCAATACTGTGATAGCATCAGGCATGTTTACTTATTAGCATGGAATAATGCCTCCTCTTAAAATAACAATGGAATATCTTATTAATACCTAGTGTAAATATATTGTTATATTGTGTTTTATATTACAGAATAAATTCTTCAGATATATTTTCTTGCTGTTCAATATTTTTTTTCTAATCTACCTTAAAATAAATCATTTTTCATTAGAAATTATTGCATATCTGATGAATACTTCCTAATCTTTATTTCAAAATGAGGCATTATGATAAAGTAGACATGGTCTTGTTTTTTGTTTTTTAGACTTTGTCTTTTGCAAGTTTCCCTTGATTCCGTTTAGGCTTATGGCAATATCACATTGAAACACCGGTTCTCATACAATCACCAAAGTTAAGCAATGTCAAATCTGGTCAATACCTAGAGAGGTGATCGCTTGGGAATACCAGATGTTGTAAGTTTGGATGTGCAGGTGATGGCCTGGTATTCCCAAGCTTCAGCAGCTTGAATAATGGCTTCAAATTGGAAATCAAAGAACCAAGTTCCAATTCCAGCCAGGTTCTTATATTCACTTACATGCAAATACACTTGGGAAAGGTATAAATCCACTTCATCTCCTCCCATCTAGGGATCAATTAGTAGGACTTGTTTAAGTAAATCATTATTATATCAAAAAATTCTTACAATATCAAAATATTTTCTGTCTTTATATAATTTGCAAAAGATGGATAAACCATAAAAAGCAAATCAATCAATCAACTTCCACTTAAATTGCTTTGAAGTAGTTTTGTTTGTTTTTGTGATTTGTTCAGGATGATTGGAAAGATCGGTCAATAGAAGAATCGGATGACTACAGCAAGGTACAAACACAAATCCACAACTATGAGAAGAAGATAGATGATCTTATGTCCGAAGTAGGAAGCCTAAAAAATGAGGTAAGTTTTAAATGATATTCTACAACATGGTCTAGTTGATAAAAGAATTTGCTAAGCTGATTTATTTACTTAGTAGCCAACTGTCCAATCCCTGGCTTGAGTAGTCTGATTTATAGCACATCAACCTTTTCCAATTATTTAATCCATCAGTCATTTTGATAAACAATAGATCGATAAACATCAGTCTGGTTTGCTTGAGAGTCAAAAAGGTGAACCTAGTTACAGCAAATAGCTGACCCCTTTTGAAGTTATTTTTCTGCATTGGGATACAATTGGTGTATTCTTGACCCCCAGCCAACTGGATATTTTGAGTAGTATAAAAATTCAAATATACTTTGGTTCAATGGAAGAGACAAGGGACATCACAAGAATTGAGAAGAATTAAGTGAAGAAAAGAAACATGGACAGTAGAATGTGAAAAAAATCTGTCTCCATATATTGAATTTCTTGAATAAAGTGTTTAGTTTTAAATTTCCATAAGGTACCCAACATCTAACAGGCACCTGAAAAGGCTGGTGGGGGGAAAAGTAGAATGGCTGAAATGTGACTATAACAACTGAAATAAAAAAAAAAAATGCTAGTCTATCAAAATGATAATTCCTCATCTCAAAAATTCAGGAAAATTTTCAAACATTCTACAATTATTCTTTAGGAATTGATAAAGTTTTTTTCATGAATATAACTTTCTTGTTCTAAATGACAACACTTCTAAATTAACACTTTCACGGCAGCATTGTTATAGCATTGTTGCGTGGCTGTGCTGACTTGTTTGAGGAAAAGTAGGAAATTGCCATTTACTGGAAATAAAATTACTACAAAGATGCTGACAGCAATTTCTCATGGGCATTGTCATTTTGATTGGATACTCCGTAGTATGGAATAAGGTAAACGATGTCCCCATTGCACATTATAATATGCCAACAAACAGATTGTATTGTACACTATAAACAAATAAAGCATTAGGAAATTAATTAACCTCTACCACCTGATAAAACATCAAGGGTTGAAACCACAGTAGCGTAAATGGTTGATCTTCCTATTTTTTTTAACATATATGAGTGTCAACAGCTGTTAATGTAAATTTTGTAAAGACATATAAATCTCACTATAGTGGTAGGTGGTGTTAATGCCTCCAATAAGTTTGGTAAAATAAGTGATTTGAGTTGCATCTGGAAACTTTCTCATATTTCATGACTCAATGTTATTCATCGAGCCAAACATTTTCAATTTGTTATTGAGTTTTTGCCTCTCAAATATTTTATTATCCAAAGCTGACCCCAAGGAATTTTATTTAACAGGTTGACAGCCACTAAAGTGATTATAGTGTAGTTAAACTCTTTATGTAGCAAGATTAGAAAACTCTTGGGTTGATGAAGTAAAATAAAACAAAAAGTAAATAAAGAGAGCAACATGGCGGACTTAACTGCTTACTGTATATCACTGTAAATAAAATCTCCTGTTAACCATTAACATGGTGTTATTCATCACTAAGATCATTTAAGATGAACATCGATTTTAATCTTTTCTTTCAGGTGGAGTTACAAAAATCCTTGAGGAACATTGAGAAAAAAGATGTGATGTTAGAGACAACAAAGAGACTAATAACTGAACAAGAGAAACAACTCAGCAACATGCGTGGAGAACTTAATGCCTCTACCATGGAGAATCGGAACCTACGAAGAAATCTAAACCAGCTGCATGAAGAAGCCGAAGATAAACGGTAAGGAAATGTCAACAGCAAGCAAGATTTTGGTTGCTGCTGTTGATTTGACAGTGACATTTTTTTAAATTTACACCAGCTGAAACAATTTTCTTTTGTCTGTCTGTTTTGTTTCTTCAATATCTGAAAAGAATTTTGGTAATTTTAAATAAACTCTATATTTCTAATGTGTCTGCATAAACTCTGAAATCTTATTTACTATTTTCAGCACTCCCTTATACTGTGTGGATACATTAAGAGATTTAGTTGTAGACCTATAAACAGCTAAAAATCTAGTTCCATCTTAGCAAATGTTACATTATGGATTAAAAATTAATTTATTTTTAAATTTCTATTACTTGAGAGAACAACAATCTATGAATATTTATCTCACTATATTGTTTAGCTTCAAAATTCTATGTTCCTTGAAATGAATTCCTTAAATTCCTGAAACTGTCATTACAATAGATAACTTTTTCTTTTGATTCCAAGATCAATTTCAGTGGATTCTACAAAAAATTTTTTATCTTGTGTTTATTTATTTAAAGTGACTACCATTTTAAAGATTCAACTAAGCAAGAAAATAATCTGTAAATAAATATAAAAATTATAAATTATAATATAAAAATTATATTATAAATAAATAAACAAAAAATAAAAATGAGCCGAAATAAGAATCAGAGACATGAGTAACTGAAAGAAGCACAAAATATTTTTGGCATTCTTCTTTCTTTGAAATCCACTGCACGATTTTTTTTCAGTATTACGGGACAAATTACGATGCAATTTGATGTATTAAATCAAGTCATAGGACGTCACATAGATAGATAAGCTGAATCAGGGAGATAATTGGAATAAATTCTTTTAAATTATTACATTTTTTTTTATAATTTTTAATAAGATATTTTTTAATCAAACCAGTGTGGAAAATTAACTATCTAATAAATATCCTAAGAAAATATTGCCATTTTACTATTGTTATTTATCATCGAAAATTGAAGATTTTATATATAGATATATATTTAGATATATATTGTGTCAAACTAGTAACAATGTCAAAAAAGCAAATAGGAGTTATGTCCCTTTATCAGCACCATTTTCCGATCGTTGAAGAATTTATTAGTTAAAAAATCTTCAGATGATTTCTCCTTTCATTGATATTTGCCACGAAAAGTTATCTCCTTTTCTTTGCACCCAAAAGATTCCTTCAGGTACAGTTGGTTAAAATAAGAAATATCAAAATGGCTTCTTTCATCTACCTTATTTCTTCTAATTATGCAATAGAGAAATAAGTTTGGGAATTTTATCACTCATTTATTTTATATTTTTTAAGCAGGCTATATTTATTTGTGTTTAGCTTAAGTTAGGGTTATCTACCAAGGTATTTTAGTGGTTATTTATTACATTAGTGGGACATCCAGAAAAGATCAAATTCACTGTAGTATTAATACACTGAGCATCAAATAATATTAATAAATGTTTTTGCTGTTTTACCTTTTAATAGTTAAACAATGTTAATTATGCCATGTCTTCCATTTGTTCTTTTTACACTGTGACTAATGTACACTGTGTACATGTGGCTAATATGTTTTCAAGCAGTACTATTTAGATTCTGAGGAATTCTCATTGGACTGTTCTTAACCTATACATATCAGTGAAAAAAGATATTAGTACTAAATGTATTCATGGTCTGTGAGATTAGCTAATCACTACTGCTCAGTGAGTCATACTCAAGGTATCTGAAAAACTTGAATTTACTCTCCATTCTGCACTATTTACATTTTTTTAAATTTTTTACTTGCTTTCTTTACACATTTTGTAACTTGTGTTTTTCCTCCTGCCTGCCAGTGTCGAATGTGAACTTCTGAACACAGAAAAAGACAAGCTGATGCGTATGCTGATTGAGGTGGAAATGGACAGCAAAGCTGCTACAAAGCAAGTCTCTGAACTGCATTCTTCTATCCGAAGGTTGATGGAGGTATGTATATTAATGCAGTGATGCACTCTTTTAATTGCTTCTTTTTTTCTTCTTCCTTCCTTCCTTTCCTGCATGTGAGACAACATTTTCTTACACACTCTTCAATCATAGATTGTAGACTTGCAGTATGAGATGGAAATTAAAATCTTGGCAATGTTTAACCTTTGTGCCCACAAAAAAAAAAGTGTTTCAAAAGGACAGTTATTCCCTTGACACTGCTGTTAGTGTATATACTTTTAATTCCCTCATCACCAAATATCTTAGCATTCCATAATGTTTTGTATAAGAGTGTCGGGGAGTGAGGTGCCCTTGGACAGACCACGCTAACAGTCCTTCTCTTAGACTGGCTGCCAGTTCATGCTGTTATTTAACCCATAGCTGGGAAATAGAAGAGAAGAATTCATATCTTTCCCAAGGTAATTTGCATGAAAATGAATACAACAGATTAGTTCAGAATTTGAACTCACCTTTCTTGATTCTACTCTCCATGCTAATAGCAATTATGCTACTCACACAGTAGCATAAAAATTGATATTTTAATAAATGTGTGTATGTGTGTGTGTGTGTGAGAGAGAGAGAGAGAAAGTTAGTCAATGATAGATACATGTTAAAGTTTTATAGTTTGCCTTCTATGATCAGAGACTTTGGTCAAATTAGCTTATTAGTCTGATGTCAGTGGTACCAATTTAGCAAAACACTTCTGATTCACAAATTTGTACACTTAATATGGATAGATAGAAAGATAAACAAATTGTAAAGCTGATTGATTAAATCTTTTGATCACATTTTTGTCCTGATTTACAATTTACAGTTGAGCTAGCTAGATGTAACTGTAAATTCTATGCTAACAGTTTCTTTTCTCGCACTTCTCACTTGTGGAATTCCCTTCCGGCTCCATACTTTCCAGCCAACTTTAATCTGCAAAACTTTCAATGCAATATCAATTGCTATCTACTGTCCTCCTGATTACTCTTTCCTTTTCCCACTCATTATTAATGTTTCTATTCTTAATTATTCTACGCCCTGTAACCCCTTGTGTCTTAGTGGCTTTACTGCTTTGAATGGGGTGATACCGATTTAAAAAAAAAATATATATACTTATTTGCATATCATTGTTTACTCTGTTGATAAGATACGTATTTTAAAAGTTCATCTTTTAAACTCATGCCCAATGAATCTTCTCCTTTCCCATGAATTGTATAGCTTGAACCTTTGGGTGTTTTACCACCTATCCATAGTACCAACATATTGGAAGTAGTGTAGCATTTAAATCTTTCTTTGTGGATAGAGGAATATGCCTCTTATCTGCAAATAAATATGACAAATCTATTTTATTCTTTTATCTTTCATTTATTTATTTCTTCTCGTAATTTATTTTCTCTTTCTTTTATTCTTCTAAGTTTCTCTTATTTACTTCATTTGACTTTTTAGTGGATGTGCAGATGGTGTAATGGATAGAGGCTCAGAATGAGAATCAGAAGAGCCAAGTTCAAATTCCAACCAAGTTCGTTACATCCACTTCTGCACAAATACCCTTGGGATAAGTGCAAATCCATTTACTCCTCCCAGCTATGGGTTAAATAGTAGGAGTTGTATCTGGAAAAATCATTGCTATTCTCAAAGAAAAATTATTAATGCAATATTCACTCCAAAAATGATGTTTTGGTTTTATATAATCTGCAATGGGTTGATAAGCCATAAAAAATCAATCAATCAATCAATCCATCCACTAAACTTTTTTATCCTTCATCCTGCTACATTTTTCTGCTTTCTTCAAAACTTCAGTGTGGTGCTTAAAGAGAAGGAGTAAGTGCACTTTTTGTGAAATTAAAAGAAAAAACAGTTTGAAAAGGCATAACTCTATATCGTTTTTGTATAAAACAATTTTTATCACAGTTTTGTGTTATTTTTATTTTTTAAATTGGGGTCTAACTTTGTATTGGAATATTGTCTGTGTCATTCTTATAGAGATAAATTTGCTTATTTCCAAAACAGAAAAATATGCACAAAGGGCATATGTCAAATAATGATCTTCTAGAATCATTCTGATGAGTTCCTTCCATGATCGTTTCTTGTCATTCACTTATTTCAATTTTTTTTCTTCTTTCTTTCATCTTCTTTCATCAGGAAACGAAATTGCCTCCAATAGACACAAACAAATTCACTCGTCAAAAGGACGCTGTGCTTAACAAACTTACAGCATTTGAAATGACCAATCAGACACTTCGACGGATGTTACGAGATCGTCACACTGAAGAGGCTGACATTCAAAGACTAGCAGAGCAAAAGGATATTCTCATGAGACAACTACAAAGTGTTGAAAGAGAAAAGGAGGTTTGTTAAAATTTCATCAGCTTTTTCTTTCCACATTTTTTATTTCTTTTTCTGGTCAGCTTTTAACATTTTTTGCTTCTAAAATAAAATTTGATAAATTATTTTAATCATTTGGATGCTAATAGAATGATCTCCTCAAAAATTATCTATTAGTAATACTATTTGCTAATTTGTATAACAGATAATTTGTATTTGTTGTCTTTACATATTAATGCTGTTGGGATATTTATGGTAATTTCTAAGTGTAGCTTAGATGTGTGTCACAAGGCCGAAAATATGGGGCACCCAGTGATTATCAAACTCACTGCTCAGTTGTAACTGTTGGGATATTTATTAATGCTGTATGTTTCCTTATAAGGAAACAACTAATATTACCAAACTAATTTCCTTAATTTTTTAAACAGATGAGTGCTCCCTGTTAGACTAAAACTCTGTAGTTTATGTGTGTGTTTTCAGTAGCCTTCAAAAACCTGCACAATTTTTTTTTTTAAATTCACAGTAAAACCTATTATGTTTTTAGTTTATGTGAATGTTAGCATAGAACTTACAATTGCATCTAATCATTTCAACTGTAAAATGATGACACCTTGCTGCCAATCTAGTACTGCACTTAAAATTCATAAACTCTAGGTACCATAGAGAAAAGTTCATCAGAATATTTACCATGAAAGTATTTATAGAGAAGGTGCAGGAAAGCTATGTTATGGCAGTGTGAAAGGGACCAAAGCTGAGATGCCAGGTCAGAATCAATAATATTACAGATTCTCTTTTGGATTTTATCAAGACTCTCTAAATATATAGCAGGAGAATCAATCCAGATGTGGCAGCAATATTCAAAGCAAGGACAAACAGTACACTTATAAATATGTAAGATAGATTCATGCAAGAAAAATTGTCTAGCATGATATAGTGAACCAACTTTATTAGCTGCAAATTTAGCTCCACGGCTTCTTGTGGGGTTAAGGGCAAAAGAAGAAAAACAACAATGAATTGTGAACATTTGTTTCTTTTTATTGTTTCTATACTCTTGATCCAATCCAATTTCTAAAAAAAATATGCTTTTATTCCATTTGGATTGTCACTATTCTTATTTTGAAAGTGAAATGGCATCGATCTGGTCAGGAAAGATTCTTGCATGCATTGGTTATCCAATTCTCAGTCTGATAAAAATCCATTTACTGAGTAGCTCATTCTTTTCTCGTTCAATGATACCCTTGTAGTTGTTTTTGATCTCATGAGCATAGGTTATTACAAAATGTTGAATTCTTTCTTGGGTTTGTTTATACAACCCTTTGTCGTGCTCATGTATACAATCTTCTTCATCTTACACATCATCCAGTGAAGTTTTCTATCTCTCATTTTGATCTCATCCTATGGACGATGGTGTGCTCATTTTTTCTTTCTCTGGTCTGTAATAATCACCTTGATTACTTTACCTCTGACTATGACTTTATAAAATTTTAATTTTAAACGACCACATGGTTTCTACCATTTATTCTCTACCACAACTGCATAGGATGTTGGGCATGCAGTTTTTGACACATTGAGTTTTAACTTGTATTAATAGGATGAATTATATGAAAAACTATTTTGATGATTTAATGAGAAAGACCAATCTCAAGATTTCAGTTTTTAAATCATGTTTTCACTGTCAATTCCAGCCAAATATTACACACACACACACACACACACATATATATATATATATATATATATATATATATAATTATTTATTTAAAAATATGATTCCAAATCGCTACATAAGAGGTCTCATGTTTCAAAAGAAGAATTAAAATTCAATATAATCCTTTAAATTAAATTGAGTTTAAATTAAAAATAAAAATGGGCTCCGTTCCATCTTCAAGCGAAATTTTTGTTCTAAAATGAAACGGAAGATGTATTAACCAGATGTATTAAACTAGACAATGGTTAATACATCTTCCGTTTCATTTTTCTAACCCCACCTTTCCCCAACATATGTATCTTGAAAGTATCTCTATACCACTGCTTATTATTAACACCCTTACACTCGCCTTCCCAATTTAGACAATTTGCCCTAGCTGTTACCATGGGGATTTTGATTTAAATTTTTAAAACAAGTAAATTTCAAATATACGTTATTCCAACAAAAATTTCGCTTGAAGATGGAACGGAGCCCATTTTTATTTTTAATCTAAACTCAATTTAATTTAAAGGATTATATTGAAGTTTTCGGCTCTTGTTTTGAAACATGAGACCTCTTATGTAGCGATTTGGAATCATATTTTTAAATAAATAATTATATTTATGCTCTACTTTTGTATCGAGCACTATTTTTTAAAAATAATAACTAAAATACTAAGGGACTTTGGATTATTTACCTAACCAGTTCCTTCCTATTTTCTATATATTTTCACATATTATATATATATATATATATATATATATATATATACTGTTAGAAATTACTTAGAAAATTATTGTTACATACTCTTGGGCAAATTATGATGACATATTCCCATGTAAATTACTATTGCTACAAGTGGCTTACATCTTTATCATATTGAAACATCAGTTCTCATATGATCACCTTAAGTTAAAGTTAAGCAATATCAAGCCTGGTCAGTACCTAGATGAGTGACCACTTAGGAATACCAAGTGCTGTAAATTTTGGATGAACATGTGGTATAATTGATAATAATTTGGAATTATAGATCAGAAATCTAAGTTCCAATTCCATTTGGGTTTGTTATATTCACTTACATGTAAATACCCTTTGGAAAGTTATGAATGCAGCTGTTCTCCTCCAAACAGTAGGTTAATTAGTAGGACTTTTATCAATAAATCATTATCTCCAAAAATTTTTCTAATCTAAAATCGTTTTCTGGCTTTAACCCTTTGCCTGTCCTGCGCAGGACATGTGATTTCCACATCCATGCATCATATGTGGTGCACACGAGCTATGATTTTAAAAGAGTGATAAAACTAAGGACATTTAAGAAAAGAGTCTACTTTTGAGCAGTACATCTGAGGAAAGGCCTAATCTAATATTTTGTGCATCATATATGACCACAGGATGTTGGACTGATAATGTAAGGTCTTAAATGAAAGACACCTATTTTTCCACTTTATTGAAATGCTTATAACCTTTGCATTACATGTGATGCACAGAGCGTAATGTCAATAACTTATTATTTGTACGTTCTGTGCAGCACATGTGATGCTCAGGTTTTTATTATGTGATACACTATATATCAGCATGTTCTATTTGCTAAATAAGCTGGGTTACCTTGCAATAGTTATAAATCTGAAAACAACCATGAGCATTTGGATAGTATACACAAAAATGCCCTGGACAGGCAAAATGTTAAATAAACTGCAAAAGGTTCCTAAGTTGTCATAAAAAATTTAATCAATTTAGATGTTGCTATTCATAGTATTTTTGTAATAGAAGTGACAGTGACTTACCAGGAGCAAAGCGAATTTGCCTCAATCAGAAGTGTTTAACCATTCTCTGAGAGTCGGTCGGTCCTTTTGCGTTCAAATTTTCTACTGCCATTTTTATGCAGCAGACTTATTTGCATAAGAGAACCACGCTACCGATTAAAAACCCGGCGAGTGGACGTGGGAGGCCACTGCTCTTCTAGGCTTCGGCGAGACTAGACGTATTGCTGACAGAAAGCGGCAGCAATTTCTGGACATCTGACAAGCTATTTTGGCAAACATGGACGGCCGGTTTGATTTAAAAATTATTCCCGAGTTTGACGGGACTGGATCTGTGGTTGAATGGCTCAAGAAGTTGGAGTTGGTATGTGACCTATCGGGAGTGAAACGGCTTGATCGTGTCATCCCCCTTTGTTTAACCAGGGGAGCATTCGCGGTTTACCAGCAACTATCTACGGAAGAGAAATCGGACGTGGCTCGAATCAAGGGAGCATTGATGACAGCATTTGCCCCTGATAAATTCACGGCATACTGAACAATTCGAGGCACGTGTATTGCATCCGGGTGAGACCGTAGATGTATATTTGGCTGATCTACGGAAGCTCCGTCCCCTTTTTGAGGAGTGCCAGACAGTGCGATGGCATGCGTGTTCGTGCATGGCTTCTAGATCCTGTGAAAAGGCTCCTGCAGTCCTCGGCCAGGGCGGATGATATGTCTCTCGAGGAGCTATTGGCCCGAATAAATGGCAATCATAAAGGACGAGACAGCAGAGAAAACAAGTTTACGATGTGGTGCAGCCCTCCCAGACTCTCCGATCTTCCCCAGACATGGGCCCACCTGTCACATGCTATGAATGTAATGGGCCCAATCACTTTGCTAATGGGACTGCTAAAGAGGCGAAGGGCAACCAAACAATGTTATTTATCGATGCAACAAGACCGGTCATCTGGCCAAAAATTGTTCGGGAAACAGGCTTGGATTAGACTTCAGCGCCAGTCCAATCCCAAACAGCAAGTAAACTTCGGTTCTACCCATCATTACTGTGTGTGTTGACGGCACACCATGCTCGCTCTCCTTGACTCTGGTGCTCACGGTCAATCTTGAATATTTTAATTAAAGTCGGTCTTGGTTTGAAGCAGGATATTTTTAAATCTACATTAACCGGAGACACGCAGGCTTTTGTGGAAGGAAACCGTCAGAATTTGCACAGCAACTGGTCAATACTGCTTATTTTCGATGTGCTGGTTTTGAAAAATTAAAAGTTTTTTCACCTGTTGCTTGGCATCGACGCCATTAGGGCACTCGGTGGAGTTCGCATCACGCAGCATGGAAGCGTGGAGTTTGAAAAACCACGGTCCGTCTGTGCAGCGATTCGTATCAGCGAAGCCGATTTCAGTGCAAAATTCAATGAACAGCAGGGAGTTTGGGTCGCAGCCTTGAAGTGGTCGGCGGGTCATGCACCAGGGAAACTTTAGAATTGGATCTCTGAATATCCAGTATCCAGTGAGATGAGAGAGGAGTACGAGCATGAATTACAAACATGGATGGACAATGGTTGGTTGGTGCCGTACAGTAACAAGGAGTTTGGCCCGCCCAAGGGACTGATACCACTGATGGCCGTGCTGCAGACCAACAAGCATAAGGTGCATCCGGTGATGGACTATAGGGAACTAAATACCTACGTTGAAACATTCACAGATGCCGCAGATGTTTGCGCAGAAAAACTGCGAGACTGGAGACAGCAGGGTGCGAACGTGTCCATTCTGAACCTCAGGAAAGCATATCTACAGATCCGTGTTGAAAAATCCCTGTGGCCATATCAAACAGTTATGTTTAAAGGGAAGCGATATTGTTTGACCAGGCTGGGGTTCGGCCTGAATGTGGCGCCCTGATAATGCTTCTTGTGCTTAATGCTGTGTTAGCACAGAATGAAACTATAAATAGAGCAACGTCTGCATATATTGATGATATATATATCAACGAGGATGTGGCGTCGGCGGAATCTGTGAGGAAACATCTCGGGCTCTCTTTGGACTGACTTTGGATCCAGAGAAGTTACAGGACGGAGCCAGAATGCTGGGGCTAGAAGTATGGAAGGAACAGGGTCGATATGATGGCGATGAGGAAGTAGAATGGTAAACGTCTTATGACTATGACACGGAGAGGTATTTTTTTCTCCATGTGTGGCCGGCTTGTGAGACACTTCCCGTGTGTGGATGGCTGCATGGCGACAGGCGCCATCAAGCGTCGAGCCACTGCCGTAACGCAAAACTGGGGACGACAAAATTTGTGATGCTCCCCTGGACGTATGATAACGGACACCCTCGCCCGGGCTCAGCAACTGGATCCTGCACAGGGAGAATGGTGTGTGAATATGAAGGAGCTAGACGTGTGGGTGGATGCGAAAAAAACAGGTGGCTTTAGGAGTAGTGCTCGAGGCTAAGGGAGCCATCATCGAGGGGCGATGCTGGCTACAGAAAATTTTGTTTTAAAAGACACCCAGCATATCAATGTGGCTGAACTGGATGCTGTGCTGAAGGGAATCAACCTCGCGCTAAAATGGCAGGCTACGGTATTACATGTGAACACAGACTCCCTCTGCATGCACTATTGGGTGACTAATGCCCTTACGGGAAAGTCTTGGCTGAACACCAAGGCTGCTAGCGAGATGCTCATAAGGCGATGACTTGAAACTCTAATTTCTCTTGTGAAAGAGTATAAACTTTCCGTTGACATAGCTTTAGTTAGATCCGACCAGAACCGAGCTGACTTGCTGACTAGAGTTCCCCAGAGGTGGTTCAACAATGTGAAGGAACTCGAACCTGTTCAACCAGTATGTGCTTTTGCCGTAGGAAACCTGAGCCTTGCTCAGTTAACTGAGATTCATCGACACAGCGGGCACCCTGGAGTTAAACGGACACTATATTTCGCATTGTAAAATCAACCCGTCCGTGTCGGACGAGCAGTAAGATCGATCGCTCAAAAGTTGTGAACAGTGTTTGTCAATAGATCCAGCTTCTGTTATGGCAGAAGGGAGAGCTCAGTGTGCGTGAAACTTGAGTCGTCTGGGAATGGACATTACACATGACTATAACGGTCGCCATTTTTTGACTTCTGATCGATTGGAAGCCCCACACGGTTTTCGATCTGGCGGCCACTAGTTTTTTGCAAGACGCTGCACATGTAATCCGCAATTGAGTCGGTGTTTTTCTAACGTGGTGCCCTGGTGGAAATCCTGGCTGATAATGACAAACTGCATTCCGCAGTCAGCAATTCAAACAATTCACGGAAGAATGGGGTGTCCGATTCCGACCGCAAGAAAATCATAAATAAACCATCTGGAAATGGTATTGTAGAGAGGTGTCATCACACAATCAAACGGATTGCTGCGCGAAAAGAGCTGCTCTATTATGGAGGCCGTGTATTGGTATAACATTACACCCAGGGATGATGTGTCTGCCTCTTCTGCGCCCGCCAATCTGCTGCATTCGTACAAAATTCAATAAAAGGAACTGACAATGTGCCCTCGCCTAACCGGGCGACTTTGACTCGGTATAAAGAAGTGGACGCGGTTTGGGTAAAATCCGCACGACGCTGCACGCCAAAGTTTGTGAAAGGTCGTTCCACGGGAATAAACGGTCCGCAGTCGGTAGTCATCGACGGGATACCGCGACACGTGGGAGATGTACGTCCCACGGCTCACTTCATTGTTACCAACGGATGATGGCGGTGACACATCGTCAGGGAGTCATGAATGGCAAGAACCAAGCTCCAGTGCAAGCAGCAGCGACACCTCATCTGAAAGCGAGAAAGAAGTAGACTTGATCCTTAATGATCCCCCGGAATATAATTCAGACCAGGACACATCTGACGATTCAGCCGGGGAGGAAGTCATGGTTATACCACCGCGAAGGAGTGCAAGGGTGAAACAACCAGCCTCTCACTGTCACTTATGTGATCATACGATCAGGGGGGAGTGTAATAGAAGTGACTTACCAGGAGCAAAGCGAATTCGCTGCCTCGCGTGTCGAACCATTCTCTGAGAGTCGGTCGCGCGTGCGTGTGTACGCCTACTGCCATTTTTATGCAGCAGACTTATTTGCATAAGAGAACCACGCTACTGATTAAAAACCCGGCGAGTGGACGTGGGAGGCCACTGCTTTTCTAGGCTTTGGCGAGACTAGACGTATTGCTGACAGAAAGCGGCAGCAATTTCTGGACATCTGACAATTTTGAAAGATTTTTCCAATTTTAATAAATACTTTTGATGCAACCAAACCAATTTCCTATCTACACAACTCGAATCACAGAACAATTCCCCACACTCCCTGGCCATTTCTCCATTTCTTTTTAAATAAAGATTTTCTTCAACTGACATACATATCAAAATGGCTTATCTTAGTCAATTTGTTCTTTGAAATGTATTTATTTTTCTATGCACTCTGTGTTGACATTCACCACTTTTCTTCATAGTATTTTTGTATCTGTCTTTTGTGTTTGTACACGTGTTGTAAAACCACCTGATTTCCATTTAATATTGGAGAAATCCCACATAAATAAATTCATAAACCTAAATAAATAATTTTCTATCTATTCTTGGGGTGGGGAGACATAATTTGTTGAGGGGTTAATTTCTTTTATCGAAAACCTACATTTAAGAAAAGCTCCCTTATTAACTTTGTAAGAGAAAATATTTCAGCTTTATTACATGTTTTATTACAAATTGACATCAATTCCAATCATGAAGTTGGTATTTTGTTTCTTCCTTACAGAAAATGACAGTTGCTCAACTGGAGAATGATAGAAAGATTATTGAACTGGAGAATAAACTTGCATCTCAAAAAGTGGGTCTGCTTCATTTTTACTTTTTTATTTTTTCTACTTTTTTACATATATTTTTTCTGTTGGCAATGCATGTGCTGATCTCTCAAATTCTGACCTGTCAAGGTTCAGGCCTCTGTTTATAAGTCAATCCCATTTGAAAAGGACTCACTTCCTTCAGACTATTGAGATTAAACTGACCTTATCCCTTATATTAAATGTCACACACACCATCTTTTATAATAAGTCACACCATTTGTATCCAAATTCATTAAAACAATAAAATAAAATAAATTCTAGAAAAAGTCAAGAGGTGTAATGTGAGAAATGTGCACTTTTAACCAATGTGATCACAGCCATAGTTCCAGATTTGTAATAGTCCAATAAATTCTTTTGAAAAAGCAAGAAAAAATTATTTATTTTCTCTACTCTATTGTTCATTATTTTAAATTTGAACAAGCTTTTTTTGTAAATATTCCTATTCCAACATTCACAGTATTAAAACTGTTTTTCAGATTTAATGTGTATATTTCTCATTTTAATTTTATCAATGAGATACTAGCATCAGGACTTGTTTTATCAAATGTATTTATTTTTATTGACAAATATATCTTCTACTAATATATCAAAATTTGAGACTCCACTTTTGCACAAGAACAGGAAAAATTTTTTACAATTTATTTACTATTGCTCATGCAAACTGTGCTAACCTAGAATTGTGTGTGTGTCTATATATATATATATATATATATATATATATAATATATATATATATATATATATATATATATATATAGTTTATGCAAACTTAGGTAATCCGTATGGGTAGACCTGAGGAGGATGATATCCAGAGAGCTCAATATGAAATTCAGAGCAGATATGTTTGAATAAAAGACAGACCACGTTAAGATTCCATGTAATAAGCTATTTCACCATAACCCCTTTAACAGGGTTCTGGATCATCAGACTTTACTTCCAAAAGCTGAAATGAAAAATGAAAAGAAATTCACACATTTTTTACGGACCTCATCAAGTCTACGTGAAGTTAACGAAGTGAGGGAGCGAGATGTCATATGTATCATTTCAGTTTCCTATTTTTAACCCCAGTGTGTCGGCTAGATGTTGCTCAAATTTAACACGTATCGTCTCTAGATATAGATGGCTAAGGGGTGAATGACATTAAAGGAAGAAGTTACAACAACCCCAATCAATTACACGACAGGTTTCATTCAAATTCTTAGATGCTGTCAGTTCGCGTTACTTTAACGTGCATATTTGGGAGGTTACGGTTTGATAATCACCTCAAGCAAGGCGGTACAGCCACTAGCACGCAAGGAGTTACAAGGTGTGGAGGAATTAAGAACAGAAGTGTTAGTAATGGTAGAAAGAAAAGAGCAATCAGGAGGACAGTAGATAGCAATTGACATTGCATTTAAATTTTTACAGATTAGAGTTCATTGGAAAGCATGGAGCAAGGAGGGAGTTCCACAAGTGAGAAGTGTGGGATAAGAAACTGTTAGCATAGAAATTATGGCTACATCTAGCCAGCTCAACTGTCAATTGATGAGATCTTGTCACCAGTCTAGTGCTGCACTTAAATTCAAAAATTCTATGTAGCATAGCGAAGAGCTCATTCAAACATTTACCATGAAAGTATTTATAAAAAAAGGCACAGGGAGGCAACCTTACGGCAATGGGCAAGTGACTGAAGCCGAGCCACCAGGTCAGGGCCAATAATATTGCAGATTATTTTGGGGATTTTATCAACGAGCTCCAGGAAAGTAGCAGGAGCACCAGCAATATTGTAAGCATGAATGAATGGTAGACTTATAGATATGCAAGATAGATTCCAGAGAAAAAAATTGCCACTCGATGTTGAATCAATTTTCATAGCAGGCATTCTGGTGATGGATTCAATATGGTCTTTCCATCTCATGTCAGCTGGGAACATTAGCCCAAGAAGGCACAATGTTGCTTTTTTTTGAGGATAGTATCAGCCATGCTGATGAAAGGCAGAGAGGGGGGGTCTTTCAGATGATTAATGGAGAGCAGTTTTGTTTTGGAGGCATTAAATTGACAAGTCATCTTTTTCCCCAGCTCAAAAACATGCCTGGAGATATCATAGCTAATCAGCTTGTGGAGAAAACCTAAATACCAGACCCTGTCAAAAGCTTTCAAGATGTCTAATGCTACAGCCTGGGCGTCACCGTTTTTATCTAAAGCATGATACACTCTTTTCAATGGCATCAATGTAGGTAAGGGAAGTCATCAAAATGGATTTGTACCTTCAGAAGAAGAATTGATTCTGAGGACCAGGTTAACCATAAATATAGCATATCTTGAAACTATATTTTTATCATTCATATATATATATATATATATAAACATTAAAATCCAAAATCATCTCATATGTGGGAATAACCTATTTTGGCAGACAAAGATATCGGTTGTCTGTCTTATCAACACCGGTGTGGACTGAGTTTGAGTCAGAATTAGAAATTTAACCGTGAAAGTTAGAAATAAAAAATCAACCTGTCAAAAAACTAATACAGAATTTATCTATTTCAATGTTTCAGTCAGATATGAGGTGATTTTGGATTTTATTGTTTATTAATTATTTGCTCTGTAATAATAAATACATTCAGTTCTTTTTGTGGATCAGTTTTAATATTTTATGTTACTAGGATCCACTTGGATTATATACCAACAGATTTGTTATCTTTACTATATATATATATATATATATATATATATATATATAAAATGCTTTGAAAAGATTTTTAATGACAGAACATTTCACCTTTGTTAAGTAGGCGTCTTCAGGTCAGAATGAAAGACAAAACTGTTTTTATATTAAAATTGTCAATGTTCTACTAGAACACTCCATTTTTTTAAACAGTGTCAATTTTATCTTTCAGCCGTTGAACTCAAGAGAACTTAATAACTGTATCTACTTAAAAGAACATTTGAAGTAATGAAAATACAGTGGATTAGAAAATAAAATCCATTACTTCTCTGGAAATATATATTTAAACAAATTTAAATACAGCTTTGAAAATGATAGAACACATTCTTTAATGGGGCCTTTTTCATCCAACACTTCAGAAAGATTTGTTGGAATGACAATAATCATATATATATATATATATATATATATATATATATATATATATATATATATATATATATATATATCTTAAAAAGTATCATCAATAGCAACCAGCAAAAAGTTTTGAAGAAATAATCAACCTAAGTGGGATTTTCTTTACGATTCAAACTAATGTTTCTATTTATCAGGATGAAATGACAGCTTTAAACAGACTGCAGGGTTCACTGGAAAGTACTCGAGCTCATTTACAGAGGCAACTTACTAACAAAGAGGCTGATTGTAACAGAATGTCAGTACAGGTTCAGGTAAGAAAGGTTTCTTTTGTTTTTTTTATTCTCTTAATCTGTCTGTAATCCCCATCTCTTAAGAGAGAATTGTCGTTTAAAATACTGCAATTACATTTTCCTTCCTTTTTTTTTTTTTTTTTTTTTTCACAATAATGTTCACTCTGTACAAGTCCCAAGAGACACTCAAGGTAGAGGATTGTTGTTTTGTTTTTTTTGTTTACAGTAACGTTCACCCTGTACAAGGCCAGGAAGGTTACTTGAGGTGTTGGGTTACATTAAGGGGCAGTTTATACAGATAGGAGGGGAAAATGATAGTTAACTCTAGACTCGAACAGATTAAGATTATAGTGATCAGGGAAATATCCTGTTGGGAGTTTGTTCAACAAAGCATTGTTTTTCATGAAGAACCTGTTTGAGTGGAACTTATTCTCATTGAGGGAATGAGAATGGTTTGCTACAATGTAAGGGCATGATGGTTCCTTGCCATGAAGGTTAGACATGGCAGAAACAAGGAATACAGAGTAAGCAGCACTGTATGTGGGGATCTGTGTGCAAGATATCAATTTATCCTAGACTTGAACAAGTTAAGATTATAATGATCAGGAAAGCATCTTCATGGAAGTTGTGGTTTATCAGAAGAAGCTGCTGAAGTGGAACTTACATCTCACCAACAGAATATAAAGGGAGTGAGTGTGGTTCGCTACAATATGTGTGGTATGGCTGGTCTCAGCCATAAGGGTTAAAATTGGTGGAACTAAGAACTGTAACTCATTTGAACACTTTCCATGGAAATATCAATAGAGTAGTAAAAGTCTTGCAACATTTCATTTGTGAGAAAGGTATTGTAAGGTGGAAAATAATTCATCACCCTCATAAGCGCTAAGCAGCTCTTGTCCATATATGACAGCAGTAGTCTATTTTCAACTTGTTCTGGCTTTTATAAAGGAAGAGGATAGCAGGAAGAGTCAGGTATTAACTGGAGCAGAGTACATGGCACCGACCATTTTTACAGCATCTTCTAGTGATGATTTCTATCTACAAGTTCTGGATTGAGCTTAAATCCCAATACATGCTCTCCCTGAGAGAACACCCATTCATTGTGATATGTGAAAATTCAGGGTCCACTCAGTGATGATGGAATATCACTAGTTTGGTTTTTGAGCCATTGAATACGACTAGCCAGGTTTTCTCCCACTGAGCTGTTAGAGCTAGGTCAGAGAATGCCTGGTAGCTGATCTAGCTACCAGGCACTGGTCATCTAGAGTTTTGGCATTGTGATAACAAATGTCACCAACTATTCCATTAACTTGAGTCTGTCACTTATTAAACTCTTTGTGTTGTTTCCATTTGACATGCTTCTACTTTTGATTCTGAATCTTTTATTGACTTAAAGAGAATGAATTCAAATCATATGTCAATTACAAGCTTCATCAGAATCTCTCTTTGCTGATCCTTAATTTTATCCAAGTTGAAGCATCTTGTTGCTTTCTTTCTTGGTACAGATACCAAGATTCATTTACTCCACATTTGATCCACTGGTTAATATCTTCACTTGCCACATTTGATCCTGATTGACATAATGATTTTTTTCACTGTAACTTTAAGATTAAATGATCCTTCAATCAATTAGTTTTGCCATAAACAAAATCCACAAAGATTTAATTAAGAGATTGGCTGTATTCACGACAAGGGACCAGGGTCCTTGGCTGTATTTATGACATATTTGCATCCATTTTTTTTTTTTTTTAAAGTTGATTCATTGTTACAGATATTTTATTTGATTCTTTACATCAATTGATTTCTTGGCCTTCTAGAATCTTCTGCTTTGATAACTAAAATGTTCCTTTTTCTTAGACTCTTGAAAAGCAACTTGGACAAAACAAGATTGACATAGAACACATGCAAGAAATGGTGAAGCTTTCCAAAGAGAAGACTGAAAAAGACAAAGAATCTCTTAAAAAAGCCACAAGGTAAGCAAGAAATAAATCGAAAGGAGGTTAAACATAAAAGATATGTATATAGATGTGAAAAAAGTGGTTATTTTATTTTCCGTCTATATTATCGGAAAATACTTTGTTTTTTTTTTTTCAGGCCAACACTATTTCAAATATAACAAGGCATCAAGCAATTTAGAATTTTTCTTCTGGAAATATTTTTCAGAATTAAAAATGTTTTGCAAAAAAAATTGACTCTTTTATTTAAGCATTAGATTCTTTTATTTGATTAAAAAAAAATTATTATAATCAAAAATTGAGCTCTGATGACTTCCCATGACACCAACTCTCCTATAATCTTTTTTTTACTAAAGTTAATAATATTTACCTCTGAGTTTGTAGCCAAACAATTTTATTTTCCCTCCAGTGTCTTCTGATGTTTAATTTAACATTATCATTTGTGAGATCAATAAACATTTTTCTATTTCATAACAAACTCAATATCTCCTATTTTTTCTGCTAATTGCTTTATTTGGTTCAAAATGGTTTGATGTGATCTCTAAGGCTAACCTAGCATAGACTGTTATTATTAAAGACCTTGCAGTTACCCATTCCAAGAACTAGGCCTCTTGAAACTTGGTTTGAACATGCAAAAGCATATGTCTGTTCTCACACACATAATTTCACATAGTAATATAGTTAAGAATATTTTTAAATGCCAGCTTTGTTGTTGCTTTTTCAGTTTATATTTATTGTCCAGGCTTCAAATAAATGATGGCACCAAAAATAATTTGGAATGATGAAAATTCTTCCTCTCAGAACCTAAGACAATTTAAAGTATTACAAAGAAAATGGCTCCAGTCATTTCCATAAATGTAGATGTTTTTTGGAAATTTTTTATTATTATTCTGCAAAAGTTTAGAAACTAAAATTAAATGTTTGACACTACCTCAGCATTGGGCAGTCATTTTGTAATCATTCAGATTTCTAAAGTTTATCATCCACTAAGAAATTAATATAAAACCTAATTTTAAAAAAAAATGCCTTTTAAAATCTAGGGTGTTGAAGCAGAGAGCTAGCCGTAGTGAGGATGCTGTTGAACAAATGAATCTGCAGTTACTGGATCGGGAGTCATTGCTGGCTGATGTGACAAGCAAATTGGATCAGTACAAAGGCCGGGTAGAAAAATTAAACAAAGAGAAAACAGAAGCTCTGTCTGAGTGTTCGTCTTTGAAGATGTAAGTAAAATAAGCATCAAATATCATTGTTGTTGGCTTTATATTGTATCCAAGAATTTAATTTCTTTGCTGATAGCTTCCTTTATGATGATGGTGTTGATGACTAAATTTTCTGCCAGCATGCAGGTTCCGGACTAGAAGCTTCCAATTTCACCAAAATCTGCTCCTGTTATCCATTCCTTAACACCATTTAATTTTGCAGGAATTGGTTAGAGATGAAAGAAAATCAGAGTAGAAAAAAGTGCCAATTTTGTGAATTTGTTTAAGGTGGACCTCAACTTACCAGGAAGTGGTGACCCACACACTTGATTTCATGACCTTCTTCTGTAACACTACTTCTGTCTTAATTGAAATTATATGTAAACTAACTTGATATAGAATCAAGTTTTAGGCTTTGTAAACCTGTTCAAAGTTTCACATTTCCAGCACTTACACTAGAACAATAAGTAAGACAAATAATGTACTCTGAAGCTGTTAAATTTTATAGCATACCATCTGGAAATTATTAATATCAATTTTAAAGCAAATACAAATTTCATAACTGTCTGGATTAATGCAGAATCTTCCGAAAATTCTTTACATTTTTTGCCATCCTTTTTTATATTTATTTTGTGGTGATATTGTAGGCAACTTGATGAATTGAAAAGCAAATTACATCAGAAAGAGGAGGACCTTTCGTCACAAATCAGCAAACTGTCAAACAAATTACAAGAAACAAATTCAGAATGCACAAAGAAATCCTTGGAAAATGAAAAACTGAAGGTTTTTCTTTTATCAAATTGTTTTTTATCGTTTGTTCTTTCATGAGTCATTTATTAATTTATCACAAACCAATAATTTTTAAAACAGTTTTTTTTATTCCTAATACAATTAAAATGCAAATGATTTTCTTTAGAGTGTTGCTACTAGGTTAGAGTTGTCATTTGAAGTTGAAATGTGTTGAACAATATCTAAGTGTTGTTTGAGAAAATAATCAAATAAAATAGTGAAACAAAACAAGATTGAAATATTTATCCTATTGGGAACATATTTTGTGTAGAGAACATTTCAAGGAATATTCATAAGTCTCTGTAAAGTATGCAGGAAAAGTTGAACTTACTCTTCTGGTGAATATGAGTGATATGCATAGTCTAAACAATGTGGGCCTATTACGAGGAATGCTAATTTTGGCATCTTATTCCAATCTCAACCCACAACAAAAGAGAACAAGCTTCTTCTGATTTACAGGACACATACTCCCAGATTTTTCTTCTTACACATTCCCAAAAGCTAAAAAGGGGTTACTGCCATGCATATGTGTTTGGTAAAAAGTTTGAATATCAGCTACAAGAGATAAGTTATTATTCGAATTTGGCCATATTGCAAAATAGTATAATTCTTTCAACTGTTTACTCTGACCATCAAGAGCATCAAATATACTGAAGACATTACATTTTATGTGAAACTATCAAGGATTAATGTGTATCTTTTCTTTTCTTTTTGTTGCTTCCTTCCAGTCTTCCCTGGTGACATTTGAAACCAAATATAGTCAAGCAGAAAATGAAGTGATCCAATTAAGAGCCAGCATCAAACAATATGAAGAAATAATGGACGAATATAAAAACAGGGTGAGTCATGGATTTACAAAATATTCAACACATCTCACACTGTAAATTTAAATTAAACCAATGTTTTACAAATAATCTCTTAAGAATTGAATTGTATATGACATAATTATTCAATGGTTTTCCCATTAACCTATTTTTCTTTATACTAAATATCACCCAATACAGGGCCTGAGAGTCACTTAAGGTAGAAGGTTGCAATCAATATGGTAATGATAAATGAGGTGTCAGATATAAGTAGAAGAGAAGGTGGTAAGAAGTGAAGATTATGAGGATACGGAACTATAGATAATGATTGGTTAAGATTGTACTATTTAGAGAAGCACCCACAATGAGATCAGTGGTGACAGTAAAGTGGCAATTCTTGATAAAAAGCTGTAGAATTTCCTTCTTACATTTGGAACACAGAGTAAATAAGGGTTCACAATTTTATTATTAAATAATTTGTCTACAATAAAATTTCTCTTTCTGTCTGAATTTCTGAATGAGGAGTGATCATTATTTACATTTAGACTAATATCCTCATCTTTGTTGTTATAATTACAGCATTTTAGCCATCCAGGTTTCTTCAGGTGTCCATCAATCTAGGTAACCTTCATAGAATTTCAACAAACAAGGAAGAAGGCTAGACAAATCAACACCTGAAACACTGTGATCATAACAACAAAGATGAAGATATCACTCTCACTTTATATAATATTAATAATTTTCTCTTCTTTATTAAACATTTTTAGATAAAATTTCTCCATTTGTTAAGCAATTTAATGTTATCATTCTACATTACAGCCTATTAAGGTGATTTTCTAAGCATAGCTTAAATGTGGTACAAGGCCAAAAGTAGAGGCATCCAGTGAGGATCAAACTCACTACTTAATTATAATTGTTCTAGTAAGACAAGTTTGCTAACCATTACACCATGTCGAGATGCCCCAGTACAGCCTATTAAGAACACAAGATTAAATATCTGTGTATAAAATTGTTTACTCAACTTTGGACTTTGCTGCTTACTGTTACTCCTAATTTGGATTCTAAATTCTTATGATGATGTTAAAGACTCTCCCCTTTCTTCTTTCTCAGGTGGCTGTTTATATTTATCCTCCTAACATCAGCCATCTTGTGTTCACATCCATAATGAAGCTGAATCAGTCTATACCTCTTTACATGCCAGGAACAGAAACTGACATCCTGCACCAGGTGTCTAGGAGGTTATCTTTCAGAATAACTTTTTCATGCACCTTGCATTATCTGATGCACCCATGTAAAGTTTGTGTTGCTATCATCAGAAGTGAATGAAATCAGAATAAAGAAGTAAACATGATTAGTCATGAAAATATTTCAATTAAAAATATGTTAGGAAACTCAGAATAAATTCAAAATATTTGAGAGCATCTTTAGAGAGAAAAAAAAAATCTCTTTCTCCTTTCTATAAGATTTTTTTTTCTGTTTTTTTTTTTTTTTTTTTTTTATACCAGATGACCCAATCTCGAAAAGAAGCTGATGATACATTGGAACTATTAGAGGAACAACAGAAACAAAGTAGTCGACTTCATAGAGAAGGAGAAATGGAATTAGAAAAGGTAAAAAAAAATAAGAAAATATATTTTACTGCTATTTTTCAGTGCCTTTCTCTTTACATTTGGCATCTAAAAAAAGACTCACCTGGCATAAAACCTGTCAAATGTAGTCAAAGGTGTCAATTCAAATTGATCCAGAATAAATCTAATTTTTAATCTAGTGCAGTACTAAATTGGCAGCAAGATTTCATCATTTTACAATTGAAATGACTAAATGTAACTGAACAGTGATATTAATAGTTTTTTCTATCACACTTTTTGCTAGTGGAACTCTCTTCCTCCTTCTTGCTTCCTAGTCAACTTTGATCATCAAAAATGTAAATGCAGTGTCAATTGTTATCTTCTGTCTTCTTCATTCTTGTCCTCTCTCTTTAATAGAAATTTTTCTCATATTTTCTGACATTCAGTAACCTCTTGCTTCTTAGTGGCTTTTTTATCTTTCTAGAGGTTAAATGATTAAAAAAATGACTCAATACATTTTGTTAGACATTAAGTACCATCTGGGCTCTTCTATTCTCCCTGCCACTGTGGGCTTGAGATCATGTCTAACACCTAGCAACTCCATTTTTGTCACCCCATGAATTCATATCAATTGCCAGCCATCATATGACCCTTGTGATTTTGTCTTAACCAAAGGGAGATAATTGCTTACAATCTTTTTGAAACAGTGAAAAAAAAAAAAACTGTAAAAATCCTATACATTCTGTTTCTAATTTTTGAAGGTGAAAAGACGTCTGCAGCAACGACTGCAAGAACTGGAGCCCCTTCCAGAGCTTCTGAAGAACACAGAACTGAAATTGCAGGATGCAGATGAGAAAACCCGTTCATTTGAAAGAAAGAATGCAGAAAATACCAAAATCATTGCAGACCTCACATTGAAGGTAATGTAACACTGTTATATTAATTGAACACCTTCTTTTTGGATTCCCCAGAAATTTATCTTTCTTCTTTTCATTTGTTGAGTTACAACTGATAGATGCAGATACCAAAGAGGGTGAGTATAGCAGATGAGTGAAAAAATGTCCCAGCCAAACTAAAAGAATCTTTGCCTAATCACCAAATTCTATTGTTATTCTGATGGAATGTTCTGCTCTTTTTTTTTTTTAACTAAATCTAGACACTTTTCACTGAGTGCTGCTCTCTATTGATCTGATTGAAGAAATTGTAATATTAGCCATTTCCTTATAAGGAATCATTCAGCATTCATTGACCAAGCAGTCATACTGTTGAAATTTATAAAATCTTTCTCTTGAATCAATTTTCCAGAAAAATAGGTTTCTCAAGTCAAGTACCTATTATTGCTCTTTAGGAGTTTCTATTCTTGCCTTTTGTTTGGGTTAGTATGGAATATCACCATCTTGATTATGTCATTATTCTCTCTTTGAGTTATTTGTACTACCCATTTTAGTTGTTGCTGCTGTTGAAAGTCCTCAAGTGATGTAGTGTCTGTCACCTGGTACAGTTTTTAATTAGTTTTTTCTAATGCCCATCCATGACATTCAATGGAAGATGGTCCTCACTGAAACATATACACTACAATCTTTCAAAACCAATTTTAACCATGAATCTGAGAAAGTGGTTGCATATAGCTGACAGTTTAGACATTTCTGAACGAGTTTGGTGCCATGTATGATATTCATATAAAATAACAAGATCTAACAAGAAACATGACTACTTTTTAGGTTAATGTTTTGGCTTTGTAGCAGCTAATGATGTTGGGCAACTTGTTTCTTCAAATGCCAAATCCCATTATGTGCTCAGAATCACTTTAGTATTGTGGTCATTTTATTATTTGTTATGCAAATATTATGTATTGTGTGGGCATGGCTAAGTGGTTAGAACATAAGTGTTCCATCTATGAGCTCTGTTTGAATCTATCAGTAAGGGAGGTGACTTCTTTTTAATATCAGACATGATGATTATGATCTTATCATGCCGCAACATTGGGAAGTGCCTAATAACAATACTACAGGTTGATCCAAGACTTTTCAGAAACCATTGATGGTTATGCCAGTCATCAAGAGCAAGGGTTTCAGCACACTGGCCTTGTTCAACTACTGATCAAGGTAGATTATGTGCTCTCTCCCCCAAAAGGTAAGTAAACTTCACTCAGCATAGTTGAAGTATAAACCACAGATTGACTCTGGGCATTGAAGAAAAACAAAACAAGTAGGCATCTGCAACAGAGATTAGCTGTTATAATGGACTAAAAGATTGCATTACCCTACTCTCTATTCTAATAACACTTCTGCAATGCAGAATTACAAGCATCATGACTGATATTCTAGTGATAGAGAAATAAATAAAAATAGATAATAACAAGAAGACCAAAATTTCACCGTCTCTAAAAAGAGGTAATCAGAATTTCCAGACCATAAAGTCATTGTTCAACCAACCAATCATAAAGCTTTCACAACCAGAATATAAGAAAAGAAATAAATAACAACAAGGAGACTAAAATTTCACCATCTTTAAAAATAGATGTACATTTAAAATTACCAGGCCACAAAGCCATAGTTTAACCAACGAATCAGAAAGCTTTCACAACCGAGATATAAGGTCGCAAGACAATGAGAAGTACTGCAGCACTTTAGATGTGTATACTAACAGATAGAAAATCAACCAAAAGCCAGAATCCATACATAAATTTTGTTCATTCTCCAATGCTGTAGTCATGATAAAATAACCAGTGCTGAAAATGCTACATTTGCGCAACCAGCTGGTGGATTTGAAAAGGCTACACTGTATGTAAGAACATACACCCTTTCTTTCTTTATCTTTTTAAGCAGGCAGTTACTATATTTGGATATATATACATATATTTACTTCCTCCAAAACTCTCTCTCTCTCTTGTTGGTATTTCACCCATTTAAGTTTGTTCAAGAAGATAAGTAATTACCACTGTAGGAAAAAGGATAAGTCAGTGATGTGATATGGCATGTGAAAAAAGAACAAGACCAAACCTTTGAGATTCAAACCTTTTATGAGTATAACAGGAGAAAGAAAGGAAAGAGGTTTACAATAATGGTTTTGCAAAAAAAAAAAAAATGGTATTTTGCAGACATATCAGTTAACAATTCTTTGAGGTCTTGTGATTCCTTGTTGTGTTGGTGGCAGCAAATATTTTGGTGACTGGACTTCCTGAGGATTGAGAAGATATTTCTTCACATGTAATAGGTGCTACAATCCCAGTTTCAGATTTGTTGGTGAAGTTTTTTCCAAGTGCAGTTTTTGTATGTGCTACTTGTTGAAAGCCATAGTGGGAAAGAGAGGTTGAAAGATTCAAACATAGCGTGCAAATTGGGACAAAGCAGCTTTAGTAAGGGACTTTCTGATTGGTTCCTTTTCAGCCAGTCACAGTTATAACAATGTAAGGGGCTCATTCAAAAGGGGTGTTACTCTGAAAGACTCATAATAATACTCTCTCTATCTCTTGTCTGCACCAGGACATTTACACTTGACCTCTTGAAACTTCAACTTTCATCTTATCCTTCTGTATTATTGTGTTATGTAAAGATATATTTTGTATTTTTCAACACTTTGTGCATTTTCTTTTAATCATTCTATCCAAATAAAATATACCTTATAAATGGAGGTAACAGACATTGTCAGAAGATAACTTCCACAAATCCTCCGTAATATAACTGTATATAGATTTTGTCACTTTTGTTTCTTACTGAAAAGCCATATAGACTGCAATCATTTGCCACATTCTTTGTTGTATAAAATCCAAGAAATAAACTTTAATTCTACTACTCTCCCAAGTACAACTCAGGGTGAGGGTAGAAATTTCTTGCAAATTCTTATGGGGTTGGGGAGCAAGTGTAAAATAAGTCCCACTAACACCTTCTGTTTTAACACAGGAACCAACAGGATAGCATGAAGTATGAAAACTTTGAATGACAGGGATCATAATAAATGCATATAGTTAAAAAAAAAAAATCCAAAAACAAATGAAGAAATTAGAGTTGATCCCTCTTCTCAACTTCTCAAACGCAGAAGTTGATTTTACTTGCTTCAGGCATTCCACATTGATATAAAGCATCTACTTTTCATTACTTATTGTAGCTTGTTTAAAAAATGGAACTTTTAAATCCAGCCCAGTGGAATATTTTTCTTTTTGTTCAAATCTGCAAGACACACATCAAATCAGCTAATATAACAAAGCTGATTAAAAACATTTTAATAATTGATTAATTGATATTCTTTTCTGCAGGTTATAACATTAATCATTCACAAGAAACATCTTCATTTGATCCCCTTATCAATTTCAACTGGTCTCCCTAAATATGGAGCAACGTTCAACAAAGAAGTATCTAAAGTTAAAACTTAGCAATCCATTTTTGACGTGTTCACCATTTTCAGTTCATTCTCAATAAACTGCCCAAATTTTTGTCTTTGAGTCACATTTTGATCTTTTAATGTTGCTTATTTTCTTCCATTCTTCAATATTTGAATCAATCAACAAAAATATGCCAATTTTGACAATTTAAAAAAAAAAACACCTACAGCTGTGAAATTATAATCAGAAGTTAAATCTTTTTTAATGCTCTACTATTGTATGCCTTGACAAAAACGGACAATTTTTTTGGACATTCAAGCATATAAGCAATATATCCCATGTGTGTGCATTTATATATCACACACATGCACATGATTGTCTATCTCACTTACGTGTCAGTGTGTGTGTATGCATGTTTAGTCAAACTGACAAGTAATCATTTTCTAAAGAATTGATGGATTTATTTTTAATCAGATATTTTTCTTTCTACAAATGTAATTTTTAGTGGATAAGCATATTTGAAATAGATGTGCCATTAAACAATGTCTATTACATCTACTGGCTGACTACACTCAAGAAATCTTCTCCAGTGAATGCTCAGCTACCCCCACCCACACAGAACTTGTCATCTATTGCAAATACAGTTAACCACTAAGAATAAAAGTTTGACATAATAACAAATCTTTTATAAGAATCATTTAGTTTCCAAGAATTTTCAGTCTGAACTAAAAATGATTATCACTTTTATGCAAAGCTTATTTCATTTCTCGTTCTTTTCTTAGAGAAATTCAGTTTTATTTCCTCTCCAGTCCTCTTGTTTTTGCAGATGGAACGACTAACAGACTCATACGAACAACTCAAAGACAAATGCTACAGTGTTCAAGAAGAGAATCGGATGCAACAGAGTAAAATTGACACTTTGGAAAGGTTTAATGCTTTTTTTTTCTCCCTCCATTTTTTTTCTCCACATATTGTACAAAGTTTACACTCTAATTAATTGAACTTATTTTACTTAACCTAGTTGGCATCTGTTTATTCATTCACGACCATTCACTTCGCTGAAAAGTTGTGTTTTTGATCTCAGAGGGTGAGAAGATCACTTGATGAAGCAAACTGAAGCAAAAATGGTTTGACAATTCAGGGACTACAAAAAAAAAAAGAATTCTTTTGAATAAAGAATTAACTCTGATTAAAAATGTAACAGCGATTTGGTTTATGTGTGATTTGTTATATGCAGTGGTTTTAACCCTTCCCACTTGTTGTTATAATCAAATGATCCTGGGATCCCCTTCAGAGTCTGCAGCTTGTTTTAGTAGTAACTTAAATTTCTAAGTTTTGGTCTTTAGGTCTGACACAAGGTCTTGATCAGGAGGTCTCAGTGAGTGATGCAGATTCCAGTAGCAGTAGTGTGGGGAATCTCTGTCTGTGTCTGTCTGTCCAAAATCTCCAGCTTATATGGAGTCCTGCAGCCAGCAGGGATGTAGTTGACTAGGGTCTTGGTTTGATTGCATCAACCTTTTATAAATTTCCATATATAAAAATACATTTACTTAAGTGGTTTTCCAAATTTGGGGTTGTCTAGCCCCCTTTTGAGAATAGTCAGAGAGATCAAGCCACCCCTTAACTCCAACTCTCTTTATGCCTTATGTCTCACCTCACACCACTTTCTCAGCAGCCAACCTCATCCCACTTTCTGAGTTGGAATGACAAATCCAACTTCCAGATAGCACAGCAAAAACAAAAGGTATTTTCAGTCATTAATCCTTATCTATCAGCTTGCCCCATGCTGGGATCTTTTGATCAACCAGACCACTCAAGAATTGGAAAAGGAAAGAAAAAAACTATTTCCACTCTCCTTAAAACAAGAAAGTTTATCTTTTCTCTGTCTTATGTATTTTTTTACAATTGAACAGACCACCCAGCCTTCTTGTCCATGGTCACTTCAAAATAGTAATTAATTTTTCCTTACCACTTGTCTCCAAAGGAATCTGAATTAATGTTTGGATTAAAAAAAATTTCTGGATAAATGTCACAGAAATTATAATGAATGAACATGCCAGGTTGGTCCCTATCTCTGTGGAGATACTTTTCTTCTGAGTGGCTGATTCAAACAGATGATTTTTCTTGGCCCTTTTTGTCCAGAGGAATCATGAATGTTGTTTATTTTTGTGACCACACGGGTTTCTTTATCATCAACATGTGTTTTTATTTTATCTGACATCTTTATGGATACCTTAATAGTCATTTTCTTATCAGTGGGGAAGTTATCTTGGTTTTGCTCAATCTGAATTCCGTCTAATTAAATTTGGGTTCAATTCTCCTTGGAATTATCTCAAAGCATGATTTTTCAACACATTTCGCTTTTAATTTTCTTCAACCTTCCAATCCATCTTGCTTCAAATTTCAACAATTATCATCCCATTGGTAGACTCTTTCCTCTTCCTTTGTTTCTTTCCTGTTTTTGTCTGATCAATCTTACTGAATTCCATCTAGTTAAATTTGGATTTGATTCTCCCTTGAATTATCTCAAAACATGATTTTTCAGTGCATTTTGTTTCTAATTGTATTCTCATCTTTTCAATCTATCTTCCTGTGAATTCAACAATTATCATCTCGTTCATATACTCTCTCTCCTCTCCCCTCTTTCTTTCTTGATCAACCTCCAGAGATCTCAGTGTCACAAATTTACTTCAATCAAGAAGTTCCTAATTATGAAATTTAATGACAATTTTCTAAAAGAAAAAAATTTTAACCTACCTAATTACTTTTTATTATTGCAACCCATGCAAAGGTCACACAAATAACTTATTCACATAAAATGTTTTTTCATGATAAAGGAAATTTGCAAAATTTCTGTAATCATTGCAGATTTTAACCTACCTTAATACACACGGATGTACACTTAGGTTGCAAGAATTCATTCAAACATGTTTTATTGAATTCAATACTTTTGTCTATCTGTTGAATTTCTCATTGCATGTTTTTCGGTTTGCATATAAGCTGTCACAGATCAAATTTATAAAGTTCTTAATGTTTTTTTGAGTCCTTTATGAAACTTTGGACAGCTTCTTAATGAATTTAAAATTGATATACAAATATTTATTTATTTACATGTAAATTGATAAAAAAAAAAAATAAGCAAACAAATTTTTTTCTTCCCAATTTCAATGAAAGTATTTGAATAATATAATGAATGTTTATATATGGGGAAGAGAAGGTACTAAAAAAGTTTTTGACCTGTCCAAGAAGCCCTTTTCAGCACACCCTCATATATAGATTTCAGTTATTTGAACCAATCTATTCATTTTTATTATTGTCATGAGAATCTTTTGAGCATTTCAATTTTACATCTTCAGGTATCTGAACTAAACTGAAGATGAATTTGGATTCTGATAAAAACCAAATTAAAAAACCTGTATTTATGAAAAAGGAATAATTAGAGTAGCATTGTGCAAGTTTGTATTTTCTTGAAATTCTACGACTGAAACAATTTCCTCTTTTATATTTTCCAAATTTTTCTGCCACCAGGAATATTTGATTTATACAGATTAATTTAAAATACACAAACATTACAACTGTCCAACACAATGCACATAGGTATTGATGTACAGTGAAACCTCCTCTGTTGGTTCCAATCCTGTTGGGAATGACTGCAAAACACTTTCCCCTCCTCTTTTATAGGCAGAAGCACACAAAAGCATGCTGGGATTTTTTCCTAGCCAATAAAATAGGCCTGTTCTCGATTTCATTTGACACTGTCCCGATCTGTCTTGTTTTGAAGTCAGAATGCTACATTCACTTATCCAAACATGCTTTTCTGTGTCAATGCCAATTCTTAGTTTGTGAACTTTTTGCCTTATTACTGTTGCTTTGCCTTGCATATATTGTTTGCTTGCCTTATATTATTTTTTCTGTTCTTTCCTTGTTATTGTTTATTGCAAACTTTGTCAATTCTGTTTATTGGACAGTTCTGTTATTTATTTTGCATTTGATCATGGCTACACATTCCATACTTTTCATATTTAATGACTATTCTCTGTTGTTTGTCGTCATGTACAGGAAATTACGTGAATCAGAAGAACAAAATCGGGAACTGATAAATACAATTTCCAAACGAGAAGACACAATCCGCCAAAACAATGTGAGTTAATCAATTCATTTTGTCATCATCACAACTTTGACTTTCACTTATTAAAACAGTAATTCTAAAACTTTTATTTTAAAAATTTTATTTATCTTAAAACATTTCACCTTTCTTGGCAGATCTATTACCACAATGTGGAATATTTAATAACAAAAGAGATAACAACATAAATACAAAGAAAAAGTAACTAAATATAATTGGCTAGATTATACAAAAATAAAAATAAATGTTAAAAAAAAAAACAAATTTTTTAATTTAAAATTTCTGTGTCCCCACTTCTTCATGAGCATGTGTAATCACATCAGTGTAAACATCACTTTAGTCCTAAAGGACAAAACGTACCAGAAAAATCATTTTCCACTGTGTTATAGATTTTCCTGAAATTGTTCTTAATATATAAAAATTTATATATATAATTTTTTTCCATTATATTTTATTCAACTCTGAATTTCATCAATTACTGTCAGGCAGTGGGTGTCTGGTTTGGAGTTTTCTCCAAATGTGCATTCTAGATTCTCATGAAAATGTAAAAGACTTTCCTACTTCTTCCCTCTTGGGTGGATGTTTATACATTTATCTGACATATAATTTTTCCTATGCATGTACATCTGTAGTACAGCTGGATCAACTACACATGTGCATGTTGCAGGAACTGCTGGCCCCGAGGTGAAATGCAGATCTGCACCTGATGGCTAGGAAGGGATCTTTCAGGTCAACCCACTGATGCACCTGGCTTTTCTGAAGCCCGTTTCCACCTGTCTGACTCTGAGTCAAGGTCATTTTGACAACATCTGGTATGAACACAGTTGATGGCCATATTGTGTGTATGTAACACTTTCCACAATGGCTAGAGATGTGATGATGCAATTTGTATGTCAGTGCACAAGCAGTGATGATATTCAATGTTGGCTGTATGCAAATACAGTGACACTCACTATGTTCCACAGATTCATCTTGATTATGACCATGAATGCTGTTGACAAAGAAATAATGACAAATGCTTTTCAAGATACTTGTTGGGTCAGGAAGTAGCAAAAAAAAACAATTTCTTACTTAATCAGCAATGTCTTCCTTCTGTTACAAGAAAGCAAACTTCTTATTAAGTTTCAACCACAGAAGACGGAACCCTACACATTCACTGACTGTCCTTCACTCACTGTCTGATTCATTATATGGATACTGGCTAGAGACCCACCAATCCTTCCCATTCACTCGTGTTCCACCAACCAGAAATAGGGACCACCCAAGCAGGTTTTGGGTGGTCAGCTTTTCAAAGGATCCTACTTTACAGCTACCTAAAATCACTAACAAAATTTGTTTGACAATTTAAAGGTGGGCTGGAGACAGGATTCCTGAAAAATCCTGGTCATTAAATTTATTCAAAAATGGGTTTGGAGACAAGATTCTTGAGAAACCCCAGTCATTAAACTAACATATCTCTACATCTCCTAAGGATGTGCAAGAAATTGTCTTGCTACAGAGGTATTACACTGATCCTAGGTAAAACTGCTGCTCTATATGTAAATAATTAATGCTATTTGCAATTAAACAAAGAATTTTATAATACTTAAGGAATCTTGAAATTCTTGTTTCTTTTGTGTTGAACTTGATCAATTTTTTTTTCAGCTGCGTCTTGAAGAAAAGACCAGGGAGAATGTGAGCCTCACCCACCAACTGGAGAATTCAGTTGCTGACCTAAAACGTCAGACTAATTGTGTCAGTGATCATATTGTTTCAAAGGTTTGAAAAATTTTCTTGAAATTTTGTTTATATCAGTCTGTCATTAGACGCAGCTTGGTTAGCACCTTAACTTTTTAGGGAAGCATTAAAATCAAGATGCTTAATAAATGTGAGGGCACTAATGTAATCCATCGGAAAGCCCTTTTATTATATTCGGGTACTCTGTAAAGCAGGCATGACCCCAGGCCACATGTGGCATACTTGCTGATTTTTTTTATCTAACCCCAAGAGTACAACAAACATTATTTTTTAAATGTCACTTTCTCTAAAAAATAATATTGACATTTCTTGTTTCCATGTTGCACAAAATAGTAATCTATTCAAGAACGGATCAGAGAGAAAAAGACAGAAACCTTTTATGTATTTAATAGCAGACACCAGTTCTAAATAAACTGACTTCCTTCAAAATCGACAGGTTGTGTTATGTACTGTCATAATCAGTGCCCAATCATCAGCATAGTGCAAACATGTAGGGCTCCAGGCGCCTGTGTGTGATGTTTAAATAAATTATTTGATCCAGGCGCCTGTGTGTGATGTAGAATCCAGGTTCCTGTGTGATGTAAAAATCCAGGTGCCTGTGTGTGGTGTACAAATCCAGGCGCCTGTGTGTGATCCCAAGCTCATCCAGGTGCCTGTGTGTGATGTTCTCAATCCAGGCGCCTGTGTGTGTCACAGGGATCCAGGCGCCTGTGTGTGATGTAGGGATCCAGGCACCTGTGTGTGATGGAGGGATCCAGGCGCCTGTGTGTGATGTATTTTTCCAGGTGCCTGTGTTTTTTCTAATTGGAGGTAAATATAGGAGCACACTTTTTTTTTTATAAATGTCACAGATTTTTTTTTAACTATACAAATCTCCTTAATAGTATTAAATATGAGATTAATTTCTCTTACCATTTGCCACTAATTTGCAAAATGGCAATATTATATTCTCAAAAAGTTAGCTCACTGTGTTGGGCTAGACAATTTTTTTTTGCCAGAATCTATCTTACATGTTTATAAGTTTATCACTTTTCTATGCTTTGAATATTGTTGACATATCTGGTCAGATGCTTCTGACATGTATTTAGAGATTCTTGATAAAATCCAAAGAAGAATCTGCAATGTTATTAGTCCTGACCTGGTATCTCAGCCTCAGTCATTTTCCCACTGCTGTAGCATAGGTTCCTTTGCCTTTTTTCTAAATATTTTCCTGGTAATTGTTCTGATGAGCTTACACAGACTATACGAATTTAAGTGCAGTATTAGATTAGTGACAAGATCTAATCATTTTACTGTTGAAATGGCCCAGATATAACCATAAGTTCTATGCTAACAGTTTCTTCTCTGACACTTTTTGGCTTCTTGCTCTCCAGTTAAGTTTGCATTTAAATTTTTGAAGATCAATGTCAATTGCTATCTTTTGTCTTAATTACTCTTCTTTTATTGTTGTCTCTCCTTAACAAAGTTTTCTTTTATCATATTCTTTTTACACCCAGTAACCCCACCCTTGTGTCTTAGTGGCTTTATTGCCTTGCTTGTGGTGAAATTATTAAAAAGGTGGGGAAGGAAATAAATCTAAAAATAACATGTGCATTAGGGTTGGTCGATTTTTGTTTTTTTAAAATATCAAAAAAATAATAATGTACGGAAAGTTGTGTATAGACCAGTTAAATACTGATACAAAAATTAGATTTGTCACTTCAACGGTTTTTTGAGCATTTGGCATCAAAGATCGTAGACAAAAATGCACTGAAAAATCCACGATTTTGCAAGATTTAGACTAAATATTGATAAAAAAAAACAATTTCACTATTTAAATCAGGGAATGTTGTTATTTTGTTTTAGCAAAATGAAATAAAATGTAGAAATTATAAATAAACTTCAAATTGAAAATTTGCCCCCCCCCTATCACTGATGATTTTGAAATGCTGTTTTTGCCTCATGAATTAAGCAGTATTAGTTGAATACATTAAAAAATTGATTTTTTCTAGTTTGAATGAAAATGCAACAAACAAATATGAAAAAAAATAAAGAATAGTTTAATAGGGCTTAATATATAGAGTCAAATAGCTCCATATAAGAACCCTCAGATGAAATTGATGGTCACAATTTCTGACACAAAGCTTTTGATATTGTGTGCTGGTGCCTTGCTTCAAAGCCATACACAGATTGGGAAACTTCTGTTGTTAACTTGATTGCCCGTTTCATGCCTTGAGAATGGGAGGGCAAATCTGGCAAGTCAAGTTTCGTACCATTTCATAATTATTCCCGAAGTTCATTTTCAGAAAATTCTTCTGTGAGTGGTGGTTCACAAATTCCACTTAATGACAGATCTTTTAACTGTCTCCAGTGCATAGCTTTAAAATTGATAGTTGTGATTCTTTTTAATTTTTTCTTGGTTTGTTCCCCACTCTTGAAAGAATATAAAAATTAATTTGATTTATTTTTAAAAAATTGCACTCTGTACTGCTTTAATATTTATGTTGAAATTAGATAAAATCCTTAAAATGATTCCATAAATCGGTAAAACTAATTTAGTCAATTTTATATGAATAAATATTTACTAACCTAATGGCCAAAATTCTTTTTATAGCTTCTTCCCTCACTTCCCGTTCATCAGATTTGACCATTGAATATAAGATATTTTCAGGCAGTAAGGCGAAAGCATTGTATTGTATATTTTTCAATGTGATCTGTTGGATTTCATATGGTTGCTTCCTAATCCTTTGGATCATATTGAAAATATACATTTGCTGATTGTGGAACTTTTATTTCTTTTATTTTCGAACTGGCAAATGGCATACACATTCACAATAAAATTTATTAAACTGTGGAGTTTGGTTGAAATATTTCGTGGGTATGCACCATGAGTCCATAAGCACATCAGACTGATGCCTAAAGTTAACCACCTTGCCTGGTTTAATGGACCAATTTTCCATGATGCAAATCTAGAGTCCACCTTACCTCTAGAAATAACCACTCAATATTCATAAAGGAGTCTTTGGTCACAACTAAGGGTATCTGCATTTTCAATTTTAAAATAGAATCCAGAGGACTGCCAACAGCTGAAAATGATATTTGGGGTAAATTATGGTAATAATCATTTGCACGTAATCTTCCAAGTGGACCATTGAATGTGGCAGGGCTTTTTTGTGGTACCATCTACATGTTTAAAAAAGAGCTCTAAACGGAAGTTTATTTTTTGGTGCAAGGAGCAACCAATAGTATGAAGATTTCTGTTAAGTTTTCTTTTCTAGAGGTGCAGCAAATCCACCTTTGCACAGCCTGAATTGGCATTAGTGTTTGTCAATAAGGATAGCCTTGATAGTGCTTCTCTCCATTTTCCTCCACTTGAATTCATGCAAAACATCACTTTTTTCATGCACTTTAACCTTTGCTCTATCAATTTTACATTTATCTATATAAATATCTTTTTATATTAATATTGGGGATGAGAAAGCCCATAGCCCTCAAATCCAAGAGCAATGCATTGGCAAGGCTGGCTCCAAGATTGTAAGATACATCACCCCTGATCAATTCAACAGCATACCGTGGAATTTTGATAAGGCTCGCTTTGATATAGCCTTATCAAAATTTCACGGTATGCTAGGCCCTTTGGGTTGTTTTTCCTGACATTTTTATTAAAATATCTGACAAAGAAAATATATGTATTATCAGAAATTATACAAAAATATTTTTCAAAATAAATTGGAAAATAAAGCTTGAAATGAATTATTAAATTAAAAAAACGTAATGTTTATATAAAAGTAGAGTTAGTTCCGGGATTAGCTTGTAAACAGGCTTTTTAATAAAACATTAATTTTCAAAATATAAACAAATTACAATAATTATAAAAGTTGTATTTTTTTTAAATAGTTAAGTATATTTTGATGAAAATAAAATAGATATTTGCACTAGTTAAAAGCGTAAACAAAAAATAAAACGAACATACAAGAGGAGGTCATTACTACCGGAAAATACCGAAAAAAATATCCAGTAAAAATGACGCCGTTCATGAGTAGTTATTTGTATTTTAAACTAAATATTTTAGTGTGTTTTATTTTTTATTTGTAGTAATTTCATTTAATTTAATAAGAGAATAGATAATAAACTCAAAAATATCCATTATTAAGCATTATTTTCTTTTTTTTCTTTTCGTTAAAACTCGGTTTTAATTTAACATACACGTCTCCGGTGACACCGTTATGATGAAAAAATTCGCAATTTATTTTGTCTTTAAGTTCGATTGCTCAAATAAATACGAAGTTTTGAAGAAAAATATTTTTTGTGGTAATTTTTGACGTTATTTTGCAACTTTCCTCGAGTTATTCTTTTTATAGTTCCAAAATCGACCTACCCTAATGTGCATATATGATTGTTATTTATATTGTTGTTATGAAACACACAGTCAAGTGGGCCCTAATTGTCTCTGAAATTTTATGGCCAGCAATAAGGTTTATGACATGTGGTCTTCAAAGCAGCTAACCACTTAACCAAAATAAATTAAAATTTGTGAGGTCAAGTGCCGCTTGAATGGAAGTTAGAAGTTCCCATATGCAACCTTATATAAATAGTCTTGGTTAGAGTGAAGGAGAGAAACTGTTCGACAAACCAGTTATGCTGGTAAAAGTCATTGGTGGAAGTAAGAAGAGGCAAAAGGAATTGTGCCAACTACACACTCTCCAGAGAGAATATTAAGTTTGACTAAAGATGCAGCAACTGAATAAATAAGCAAATTTTTAAAAACAGGATTTGTGTTTTCAATGTTGCTTTGATTTCACTGTCCATTTCTTTGTAGACATGCAGCAATTCTTTCCTAGTTTATGGGCACAATGATACAGTTGAGATATGAAAAAACAACATGAGGATGATTTGTCCATCTGATGAAAAGGGTGAGAGAGAATCTCCATTGGATGTTCACAATTGTGTTGTGGCCCTCTCTAAAAAAGATTTTCCCATTTTTGCTCTAAAGGAAAAGTAACCCTCCAGCAACAATTATTTCACTTGCATATCATTTCTGTACACAACATATAATTTGATGATATTCATGGGACCCTACCACAGGTTTGGGACAGTTGCATATTTTTCCTTGGTGCCAGAAGTTGGTGTTCAAGCCTAGGTAAGAACCAAGATCTTGAATGACAGTTTTCAAGGCAAACTGTTAAACAAGCAGGCCTTCCCCAATTAGAATGCTGGTAGATGATAATCTTTCTACAGAGTGCAGCAGAAATACCTTCTACATAATGGTAAGCTAGATGAAGTCACCATTAATGTCTTACCATTATGCGGGCAGTATATGTGAGATGTATTTCTGCTGCACATTTGTTCTCCGTTGGAATAAACCAAATATTTGTCTAAAGTCTGTCACATTCAGCAATTCTAAATAAATCTCCTCATAGCCCAACCTTTTAAGTGTTGTACCTAATGACTTTCTTTAAGTGAAGGTTGTACAAGTAGCCTTCAGAAATTGATTTCATCTGCTAAGGGATAATCCTCAGCATGTCTGCTGATCTCCCTAAGGATGTTTGTCGAATATTCTAGTTGTTCATCTGAGCTGGTGTACTCCCAGACAACCTAGCCCACTTTGGATTGAATTCATGATTTTCAGAGAAAGAGGGATGTGCAAGTGGTGTGATGGATGGTAACTCAGAATGAGAAGTCTGAGATCAGAGGACAAATTCCAGTCAAGTATGTTATATTCACTCATGAGCAAATACCCTTGGGAAAAGTATGAATCCATCCCCTCCACCAGCTATGGGTTAACTAGTAGAATTTGTATCTGAAAAAATTATTATCTCCCAAAAATTGTTAATGCAATATTCATTCACCCCACCCTTCACCCCCACTTAGCAAAAAGAATATTTCTTACAATTCAAAATATGTTTCAACTTTAAATGAAGCTACAAAGGGTTAAATGTCTGGAAAAAAAACAGAAAACCATCGATCAGTCAAGGAATGAGGCAAGCATATATGTAAGATTATAGATTAAGAAGAAAAAATCCTATCTCAAGAATAAAAACCATCTTTGAAAAGGATGAGAATTAAAAGAAAAAGCTCATCAAGATGAAATTGCTGTAGTCGTCATTCTCTTTTGTCTTCTGTAGGAGCGATCATCCCAAACAAAGATTCTTGAACTGGAATCCCAAATGAGCCAAGCTCGAGCTGACATTGCACGGGTGAAAAGAGAAAAAGAAGAGGTTAGTCATTTATTTCAAACACTTGCTAAAAAATTAATTCAGAACAGACTAAAGAACATTATTTCCCAATCTGTTTTGTCATTGCCCCCTATTTCTTATTTTTATAAAAATAACATTTCTCCCATTTTGGTACTTATAAATTTTTATAGAATCAAAGATAAACATATACTTATGCTGAATAATATATTTCTGTCTGTACTGATTTATAATTGTATACTCTTATACATATGAAAGTGGGCTGAAAATGTCATAGGCTGACTATGAAGTAGTGATGCTATAACTGTGAAATCTTGCATGCATTAATTTCAATTCTTATTAATAACTGCATTGTTTCTTTCCAAGGAAACTGCCTGTTCAAAGAAGACTTCAAAAGTAACTCTTTTGAAAATAGACAAAATTTAGCATTGTGGGGCTATCAAGTACCTGCAGAAAAGGGGTTAGCTCCAAAAAACATTCATACTGACATGGTTGTCACATTAGATGGCAGTTTTGTTTTATCAACAGTGCAAAAGTGAGCAGCTGAATTTAGGAGGGGGAAAGGGAGAGTCTTGGCGATGCCCCAAATCAGGACATCCTGCAACCGCCACCACCAAGGATAACATTGATCGTGTTCACCACATGGTGATGGATGACAAGCGATTGAATATAAATCAAATAGCCAATGCTATCAGCATATCCCATGAGAAAGTTGAGTATATTATACACAATGAACTTAGCATGACAAAGGTTTCTGCTCAGTGGATACTATGTCTTCTAGCACCAGACTAATCACATCACAAGAAAATCTGACATTGTTTGAAGCTGATCCAGCTGGTTTCTTTGAACACTTCTTAACCCAGGATGAGTGTTGGGTTCATCACTTTGAGCCAGAGACAATCCATGCAGTAGAAACAAAACTCCTCACCTGCTCTAAAGAAAGCCAAAGTCATTTCATCTGCAGGGAAGGTGATGGCTTCAATTTTTTGCAATACGAAAAGCATTTTGTTTATTGACAGCAGAAGGGCCACACCATCAATGGAGAGTACTATGCCAGCTTGCTGAGGCAGTTATGAAAGGCTATCTAGACCCAATACCCATGAAAAATAATAAAAGGAGTCTTGTTTCATCAGGACAATGTCTCGGCACACAAGACCTTGGTTTCAGTGGCTGCTATGTGTGAATGTGGCTTTGAACTGGTTGATCATCCTCCCAATTCTCCTCTGTTCCTCAACAGGAAAAAAAAAACACTTGCCTAGCAATCAGTATCACAGTTATGAGGATGTCATATGTTGTCTTTTAATTATTTCAATTATTGTTCCTATAAATGTAGAGAAAAACATTAATATCACATTTTTTTATGTTGCTTTTCAGAATGAACGAAAATTCAATTCTCGTCTATATGACCTGAAGGATCGTTTGGAACAATCCCACAGTACCAACCGAAGTATGCAAAACTATGTCCAATTCCTCAAGACCTCCTATGCCAATGTCTATGGAGATATAACAGGAACACAGTATCGGTCAGGTCTGCCATGAGGGGGTTTTGGAAAGTTCTGTTAATCCTCGAGGCCCCTCTTAAATGAAATAACTTAGAACCTAATTTATACACTTAATATTCAAGTAACCATATACATATTATTGCCTATACAAATATCCATAATATGTAATTACATTCTATGCACATAAAGGGATTTTATAATTTTAAAAACTTAAATTATGGCATTTGCTTATATATATATATATATATATATATATATATATATATAATTACAAATTTAAAAATTGTCACTTAGCTGATTGATGTTATATTTAGTTTTATAGGTTAACTTTTTTTTATTATCATTCGGTCCACTCATCAGGAGGTATCAGCATTCATCAATTCTTATTTTCAGTAATTTTTTTATATTAAGTTAAAAGAAATAATTCATGTGTTTTTATTGATGTTAGTTTATTTGTTACTTTAAATGTTATTTTTATTGGGATACCCATATGTGAGCAGGACCCTACATTTTATTTTAAACAGTATTTATTTTGTCTACCAGCCTGCACATTTGAGAAAATCTAGCAAAGAAAATGTGCCCTCTGACAGGATTTATACCTTGCTTGATTGTGAAGCTCTTTATAACCAAGCAGTTAACACTACACTGGCTCAGACAGTGTCTTCTCCTGTCTAGGGGAAGACAGGTACAATTCAAACCTGCCTTCTCCATTTACTGGAGAAACCACAAAAACCTTCACAATCAAAGTTTGAATACTACCAGCAGGCACATTTTCTTTAAGAAATTTTCTTGAGATGACTAGTCAGTAGACGAAATAAATACTGTTTGAAATTAAACAGTGCCTCTGCTCAAATATAGGTACCCACTAAAAATATTGTGTGTGTGTATAATAAAAAAAAGATTGTTTATGCCTAACAAAAAACATCAACCAATAAATTACTGGAGGTTAATGTATTGAAAGTGAGCTGATTTCTAAGAACAAAATGCTCAATATTAAACAACAGTGCAACAATAGCTAAGAAAGTTCAAATGACATCCCTTCGAACTTAATATTCCACAAGAGTAAAAATATAAAAATAAGTAATTATTTACACTATTTACATTTTGACCTCATCTTTGTTGTTGTTATCACAACATTTCGACCACTGCACCCTCCAGCCTTCTATCAATCTGTGTACTGACAGGTAATTCGGAACTGAACCCTTTAATTATCTATAGGGGTAGATTATTGTCATTCCACTGCTCATGTCTAGGGATATTTTGTCTTGTTCATATTTTTAGTCCTGCTCACTTATTGCTTTGCCCCATTTCCCACTGAGTCCAAGTACACACTGCCCGGCCCAGGAACTTGAACTCACAATTATGATGAGCATTAATTGATCAGTATTAAAAATAAGAACTAGATAACATATCCCTTGACATGGGCAGTGTAATAAAGGCAGTTTATCCCCATAGATTAAATAAAGGGGGTTCAGTTCAAAATTCCCAGTAAGTTACCCAGATCAACATACACCTGATAAAATTCTGATTGCTGGAAACATTTACTAAATTTACTTTCTTATGATTTTTATAACAAATGCTTTTTCTAAAAAGAAAAATTCTCAAATACATAATCAGACAATTTCAGATTAAAATTACATTATAATGTTTTTAGTATAGAACAAATTTAAAATTTAGTTGGCATTATTAATTAACTTTTTTATGCAACGTATTTAAAATAAATAGTAAATGTGATTTATGATAATGAATTTAATAGATTTTCTTACTCTAACATGCAGAACAGGGTCTCTGAGAAACTTCAAGTTGGAAGATAAGTTATTTAACTTATATATATATATATATATATATATATATATATATATATATATTATTGACAATTGGAAAATGTTCATGAAAATATAATGTTTCAAAAAATATTCAACTATGCATTTCACTGATGAGGCATCATCAGATCAAAGGCAAAAAATGAGCTGCATGTATTTGTGTATGTTTAAAATAACAAAAATGTTATTATATTTTTTTCCAAGCTGGTGTCACTCATGAGAAAAAAATAAGTAACTTAAAAAAGTTTTTAACATTTTATGTTCTTTGCATTAAGTTTCTGAATTGAGAGATAGAATCCTTCAGAATGGGTAGAGAATAAATGAAAGATGTGTTTTTATCCATGAATTCTCCGTGTCAATAGTATGTTATAAATTTCGGTATATGATCCTGTCAGCATTATAAATTATTGACAATTGGAAAAACATTCATGAAAGTATAATATTTCGAAAAAACATCTGACTTTGCATTTCGCAAATTAAATTTTTAAAAGTCACTCATTTTCTTTCTCTTTTTTTTAGTCATGAGCAACACCAGCTTAAGAAAAATATAATAAGATTTTCATTATTTTAAACATACATTATTTTTTAATTTAGTGCCTGTAAATTTTCAGCATTTTCTCTCGGTACATAATTATAACCCCTATATATAAAAGAACCTATCAATAATTAATTTAGTCTGAAAATGAAACATGTTATATAGAATTTTTTTCCATTTCTATCATTTAATTACACAAAATTCTTTTGATATAAAGAAATTAAAATATCATATCCTCCTCTACTGTCAACATGAAAAGCATCAAATACTACATATATATACAAAAAACTATTGATATCAATCAGTTCTTATAAAAACAAACAAAAAACTTTAACATTGAATGCACTGAAGAAAAAGAAATGTTGAATTTCTGTCATAATCAAAATTGTTTTGTTTTCAAATGAAAAAGAAAACATCAGACCTTTAAGAATTATAGTTGATTTCATAAATTTCTATAATGAACAAGTTGTTTATACTAATATCCTTATCCTTGCTGGTTTTACCATAACAAGTGAACCATTTTCAGACAACACTTAATTTTCAATATATCTCGAGTCCTTTCTTGTCCATGAAATGCTTTTACAGGTTGATGAGAAAGGGAACTCCACCCAGCCAGTTCAATGGGTCTGCAGACCAATTAAGTTCAAGAAGGTTGGTTCTTTAACTTGTCATAGTTGTATAAATATATAATTTAAGTTTAAGCCATTTGCGAAGTGTCTACATTTTTGGACAGATTTTTTAAACCGCCATCCTTTGTGATTAGCATTTTCTTGTACTTGTAAAATCTGCAGTATAACTATTGACTGGACTGATAGAGAAGTGAACTAGTAGAAAAGTTGTAAGTGCCTGGTAGGTGATATTTGTTACCACACAATCCTCAAGTAGAAACAAAGCAAAAACAAAAAAAGCCTGATTGTATTTGTTATTGTAACTTTAATCACACCAGAGAATTTTCATGGTGAATGTTTAATATTTATAGATTTTCTTTAATTCTTACAAGTTTTTTTTTTATTGTCTTCAAAACATTTAATCACATGATTAACATCATTAGACACTTTGGGCCCAACAACTGCTTTTCATTTTTAAAAGAAATGGTAAACTGAAATATAAAATCAAAAAGTGAAATTGTCAATCTCGTCTCCACCTGAGATACTTTTCTTATTCTTAATTATTTCACTCCAAGCAATGCCACTAAGGTGTAAGGGTGGTTACTGGCAGTGAAAGATAATGTGTTAATAAGGAGAAAAGCCACACAAAAGACAGGATTCAATAAGAAAGAAGATGGTGATTGACATTACATTTAAATTTTTGAAGGTTGTAGGAGACAATGGGAAGAAATGAACTGAGAGAGAGTTCAACAGGTGAGAAAAGAAAATATTACAATAGAACATATGATTACATCTCATTAATTCAAAAGTAAGAGACCTAGTTGCCAATCAAGTAGTACGCTTAAATTCATGCAATCGAGATATCAACGAGGAAAGCTTTTTTTTCTTTTTTTTTTTTTTTTTTTTTTTTTTTGTATGCAAGAAAAGATTTGAATTGGTTCAACTTATTCAATAAATTTTTACTTACATTTAATTCTATTTGGTGAAGTCATAAGTAATTTCCATTTTTTGAAAGCAAATGTAAAACTTTGAATAAAGGGGATAAACAAAAAAAGAAATTATTTATAACTCAGCCTAATAAATCATTTACATTTTTTTTTTTTTCTTACTTAATTCTCAATCATTATTTGTTTTTCATTTTGATGTTTTAATTCAGTGGTTATCAAACTTTTGGGGGTTGCCACACCCTTGCATACCAAAATACAACTGTAACACCCCCACCCTCAAATGTATAGTCAACCTTTGATTGGATTTTCTTGGTGCTCGTATTGCACCTCAAATGAGTATCTTAGTATTTCCTATAAAAATTGTTATATAAATGGAATACGCTCTAACGTGAAAGCAAGATACACTACAAGGGGGTGGTACTGCCAATTTTGAGAATCACTGATTTAATTAATCAGAAAAGAACCTAAGAATATCTTATATTAATGATTTTATTTATCTTTAATATTAAGAACTTCATAGAAACTGTAGTCAACAAAACATTAACTCATACAGTAACTCTTGATAGAACAAGCAGGCACTTATCACTGAGCCATTGTGACTTATTCAAATTTAAATCTTCAATAATGACCTAAATATTACTGTATACTTTGTACAAATTTATACTTTAGACATTGGAAGATACACTGAGAGTGATGTGATGATGGGGAGACAAAGTGGAAAATTTAGTAAAGGCACATTTTGTCCAAAGTGTCTGTTCTTTTTGATTTCCTCAGGTTAGAATGAAAGAAAGACAAAACTGTATGTGGGGAAAAATGCCTTAGGATTTCTGGGGATAAGTTGTGACTATAAATTATATTAGATTACCTTATCACCTCCAATGTCCAAACACAACAGTGTCTGTCCACTTGTTTGTTTTATCTATATTAGAGCCATTTGGTGGTGTTGGATTTTAAACCAGTCTTGCTAAACAGACAAGTTGTAGTTCAAAAACAGTAATTTAACCTTGCTAACCAAATGCTTCCTCTGTAGCTAAATTGTATACCACATCAGGCTATATGGCGATTCCGTGTAGGATACAGGTTCAATTCCTGTCAGAGGACACATATTTCCTTTCCGATTTCTT